TCAGGACTGGGGGGGGGGGGGGGGGTCGCGCGGGGACAGGAAGTAGAGCTATAGCTCAAGTAATAGAGTACTAGTCTAGAGCAAAAGAACTCAGGGACAGGACCCAAGCCCAGAGTTCAAGCCCCAAGAATGGCAAAAAAAAAAAAAAAGCAGGGGGTGGGCCGGGGGAAGGGGGGGTGGGAATGTGGCTGGCTCAGTGGTAGACGTGCTTGCCTGGCATGTATGAAACCCTGGGTTCCATTCCTCAGTACCACATAAACAAAAAAAGCCAGAAATGGTGCTGGGGCTCAAGTGGGAGAGTGCTAGTCTTGAGCAAAAGAAACGCAGAGACAACATCAGACCCCAAACTGGCAAAACAAAAAACCAGTATCACCTCTCCAGTTGGAGACAAAACACGCCTCCATGGCCACTCCCGGGTGCTTTGCTCACTCTCAGGTAATTCTGGGCCAGCAACTTGCTCTCTGACCCGTTCCCTGCCCATTCCACCCCCCACAGGAGAGCCCACCCTCACCTTTGGCAGCAAAGTTCAGAAAGTCCCCAGGGGCTTCTTGGACCCCCGAGGCCAGGAGAGGAACCTTAAAAGAGCCCCAACCATTCCTCTGTCCCTCAAAATGGTGGGACCGTCCTTGGGATGGTTGTTCCTGCCCTGGACTCTCCCTCACAGCTTTCCCCGGGGTAGGCTTCCAACACTGGGCACACAGACTCTGCCTGGGATCTGCTTGGGTCTCCGCTCCCCAGGCCTTGGTTCACCCCGCTCCCCACCACACACACATGTGAATAATATTTTTCCTGACTGATAGCAGGCAGGACACAACAGTCAACTATTTTTATCTCCAGACTGATCACCAAAAAAAAAAAATAATGGCTAATGCTTCCACCTTCCTTGTGATTAAAAATTAGGAGACCAAACCCTACAGTGGTTCAAGATAAAAATGATTAAAAATTAGGAGACCAAACCCTACAGTGGTTCAAGACAATAACCAATCCTGTGAGGGATGTAGGAATAATATGAATAATGCATCTCCAGGCTTGGGCTGCTCCGAGACTTTCTCCTCCTCCCCACTGCCCCAACTCGGAGAATGGAGAGGTAATGAGTCCCCCCCCCCTCCCTCCCCCACGTGCACACACCAACACACACCCTTCCATCTGAGCTACAGCTGCCAAGAGCTACTGTTGATTTCTATTCAGCTGGCTGGCCCCCACACAGCCTCGCTCTCTACCCATCCCCACCCCCACCCACCCCCCCTCCTACCTCCATCTGGTGTGCAGCTAGGCGAAGGCCAATCAATAATGCATGGCTACATGAATAACCAGCATGATAACCACTTATTTAGGAAGATGTAATCAGGACCCATTCTGAGGGTAGATGTTTGTATGTGTGAGTGTGTGTGTGCGCACACACACACCAGAGAACTCCCACCACCCAGCCCCATTCCTCTGCTCCCCTCAGGCCTGCTCATGCTAATCCAGTAGCCCCAAACACAGCACTAGGGTCTCGAGCAGGGAAGGCTCAGGCCTCACCATGTGGTGTTCTCCGGAAGAGCTATACACACATAGCCTGGACATCTTGATCAAACTACCCCTCTGTTTTATTCCATGCACCAGAGCAAAAAGCCCAGAAAGGACTATTTCTTTCAAAGTAGTCACTCTTCTGGGAGGCCAGTAGCAGTTTTCAGAAGTCCAGATGGGCCAGGCACTGGTGGCTCATGCCTGTAATCCTAACTACAAAAGAGGCTGAGATCTGAGCATCAAAGTTCAAAGCCAACTCAGGCAGGAAAGTCCATGAGACTCTTTTCTCCAATTATCCACCAGAAATCCATAAGTTGGAGCTGTGGCTACAACACTAGCCTTGAGCAAAAGAGACAGTGCCCAGGCCCAGAGTTCAAGCCCCATGACTGACAGGGGCAGGAAAAAATAATCCCTTTGGCCAAGGTTCACCTCTGGAGACTGAGAGTTCATTGGTCAGAGTGAGTCCTGGCAGGAGATTTGTGAGATTTCTGCAGGATGCCTATGCCTGACTCGGCATAGGCCCCAGCACAGACTGGTAACTGAGCGAGCATGCCATGTTTTATGTAGAGTGTTCACCCTTTCTACCTGAGGAAACTGACAGGAAAAAAAATGTCTACCCTTCTTCAGCAACCCGACTCCTCCCTCATTCCCACCTTCCAGCTGATCACTGGGGTCAGGTGTTCCTCCTGCTCCTCCAGCTTAGCTTCCAGAAGCTCTTTCTCATCATCCTCTCCCCTTCTCCCAGATAACTCCTCCTTTCTGCAGGGAACTGGTGCCACCTCAGAGAGAAGCAGGAGCTTCTCCCCCCACCCCCCCCCTCGAAAAAAAAAATCTACCCTCTAGCCACTTGAAGGGTGAAGCCTGCCCTCTCTCCAAGCCCCAGCTCTCCCTGCTGGAGGGGCCCAACCCACCCCAGGGAAATGAAATCATCTCACCAGCAATTAGCCACACCCCCAGAGACAGAAAGCCCTCATTAGCTTCCCTTCTGTTCTCTGGCCACACCCACACCAAGTTGGCTATGGGCACTAATGAGAGGGTGTGGAGTGGGCACCAGGCAGCATTGGTCACTATCCAGCCCATACCCGCCTGCTTCCTCCAGCCGTGGCATCTCCAAAGGCCTCCTGGAGAGGCCTGGCTTAAGAGCCCAGAACCAGGCAGGGTTGAATAAGGCTAACTTCGTCTTTGGGCCAGAATCGTGGCAGCATCCAGGCTGGCTGGCAGGGCCAGTGGTAGCATCTTAGGAGCCCAGTGGAGTTGGGTTTCCTCCGGAAAATGCCACTGCAGAGCTGTTCATGCTAGACCAGGCCTCTTTCCATGGTGACCGTGGGGGGAGACACAGCAGGTTAACTAGGCCTAGTTTGCCACTTTGGGTACTGACCTGGCCATACATGGAGTCCCTCTTGTGCTTGCTAGAGCTTTAGGAGAAGGCTCAATGGACCAAGAGAAGGGCTGACAGGAGATGGCTGGGAAGGAGAGGAAGGCAGGAAGACTCTAGAATCCTCTGAGCATGGCAGCTGAAAGGCAGAGCCCCAATGTAAAACAGCCATGTCCAGCTCCAAGTGTCCATGGCCCACAAGCCACAACTGTAGACACATGCACAGGCCCTGGTTAGAAGGATAAGGCTGCCCATAATAACCATGTAAGGTCCGCAGGCCCCAGCCATCTGCTTCCTCTACATTCACTGAACACACACACACACACACACACACACACACACAGCTCCCATCTCTGGTGCTCCAGGGAGGCCCTGAGCCCCTCCGTCCTCCAGAACTACCTGACCACACACTCCCAGTGGGTTCCCAGGGAGACAGTCCCCTCTGCGGTCTCGGCTTATTCAGGGAGCAGCAGTGGTCCAAGATCCTCAATTTTTCTATGCCCGTGAGTCCTGCTAGAGGCTGAGTCTTCAGCAAGTCTCTTGGCTTCTCTGGAGCTCTTCAGTTAAATGATCATCATCTACCATGAAATTCTGCATCCTTCCCCCTACCACTGGAGCAGTACAATGGGGAGGTGCTGGGATGGGCACTGCGGGGAAGCTCCTGCTTCACTGGGGAGCACTCTGGTGCCCTTCCCTTTCTGGTCCTCCGGGTCCCTTAATGAAGTCAGAAGTCACAGATCATGTGACCAAACATAGTTGAAAATCCATAGCAGGAGAGGCCCTTCCTGGGTCTGAGGGCACCAGGGCAGCAGCCATTCTGCAGGAGTGAAGAGCTCAGGGGATGCCAGGATTGCACAGCTCTGAAGAGCCGTGGCCATTGGGAAGTTTGCCCTATCACCTGTCCATTGCTAGGCCAGGGGCCAGCATGCTGCAAAGGTCAGGAACTTGGCTTTAAACTCTGATTCTGCCACACATTGATCATGCAACCTATACAAGATCTTTCATTCTATTGAGCGTTGGTACTCACTAGACACCATGTTGAAAATGAACTATACAACTTGTGGATGGGAATGGGAGGGAGAAAGTGAAGGAAGAGGTGACATTATCGAAAAAAGTAATGTACTCATGATCTGACTTATGAAACTGTAACCCCTCTGTATATCATCTTTTTATGACAGAAGATTGTAAAATATTTTAAGAAATGGTAATTCTATCGAGCCTGTTTCCAGATCTAACTGGGATAATAATAGTGCTTACCCCCACATGTAGTGAGGGTTAAAGCAAAACTCTGTTTCAAATATATAAATAAGTTGTGTGTGTGTGTGTGTGTGTGTGTGTGTGTGGCTAATGGCTCACATCAGTAATCTAGGACACTGAGATCTGAGGATCGTGGTTTGAAGCCAGACCGGGCAGGAGAAAGTACCTGTGAGACTCTTATCTCCAATTAACCACTCAAAAACCAGAAGTGGTACTGTGGCTCAAGTGGTAGAGCACTAGCCTTGAGCACAAAGAGGCTTGGGGACAGTGCTTAGGCTCTGAGTTCAAGCCCCACAATTGGCAAATATAAGGGTATGTGTGTGGATGGGTATGTGTGCTGATTGTGTACACACACACACACACACACACATATGGTGATGGCTCACTGGTATAACCTTAGCTACTCAAGAAGTTGAGATCTGAGGATTTTGGTTCAAGGCCAGCCTGGGCAGAAAACTCAGTGAGACTCGTATCTCCAATCAACCAACAAAAAGCCAGAGGTGGAGTAGTAGAGCACCAGCCTTGATAGAGAAAAATAAAAAGCCAAGCAAGAGTTTACAAGGCCCTGAGTTCAATGTCCCAGTATTGGCATGCATGCACACACATACACACACACACAAGAAAAAAGTGAAGGAAGATAAAAACCAGACTGTGTCTGGCCTCCGAGCACTGCTCCCCAGTCTGGAGCCTGCCACAGTGCAGGACAGGTGACAAACCACTGGTCCTCGGCAGACATATCAGGGGCCACTGCCGTTGTGAATAGAGGATCACACACCTTTTTGAAGTGTGATCGTTACTGTCCTCTCCGTGAGGCAACTCCACCAGCCTGACCTCTCTCTGCTCCTCTCTCTCCCCACAGTGCCACCTGATGACCCCATCATCCTGGGGGGACCTGTGATCAGTCTGCGGGCAGGAGACCCCCTCAACCTTACCTGCCACGCAGACAACGCCAAGCCTGCGGCCTCTATCATCTGGCTGCGAAAGGGAGAGGTCATCAACGGAGCCACCTACTCCAAGGTGAGCCTGGCCAGGGAAGGAGAGGGAAGGCAGGGCAGGGCAGGTGTGGAGGTTGGTGGAGTGGTGGGAGGAGGGGGGGAGGAGTGGCAGGGGAGGATGGGGGGGGCGGGGGGGAGGGAGGAGGACACCAGCTCTGCTTTCCTTGCTGTTTCGTCTGTCTCTAGGTCTTTCTTTTCTCTCTCCCACTCTGTGTCATGTTTGTCCTTATATTCCATCTTTCCCACTTATCTGCCTGTTTGTCTCTATCATCTACCTCTCTCACTCTTTTTTTCTCTCTCTTCCTTCCTCCCTCTCTCATCCATGGTAACTGCTGGGCAAGATGAAAACTCTAGAATATGGCATGGTTAGAAGAGACTGAGGGATAGAAGAGGCTAGGAGATAGGACAGCCAGATAAAAACATAGGGTGCTAACCAGGTACACTGGTGGCTCACACCTACAATCCTAGCTGTTTGGGAGGCTGAGATCTGAGGATCATGGTTCAAAGGCAGCCCAGGCAGGCAAGTCTATGATTCTTGTATCTCCAAGTTAACCAGCAAAAAGCTTTAGTAGAAGTATAGCTCAAGTAGTTAGAGCACTTAGCCTTGAGAGAAAAAGCTAAAAGACAGAGCTCAAGCCCCGAGTTAAAGCCCCAGTATCAGCACACACACACACACACACACACACACACATACACACACACACAAAGAAAGCATAGGATGCTATTACCATTGAAGTGATAATGGACCCTAAAATGCACATGTCAAAGCCCCTAAGGGATTAGTACTTAGAGAAAGGTGTGGCCTTTGGAAAGTCATCAGATCAGGAAAGTGGATCCCCCATAAATGGGATTTGTGCCCTTATAAACAAAGCCCAAGGGAGATCTGTGAACCAGTCCCTTCCACCTTGGCCACATACCTGAAAGTTCCCAGCCCTTCAGAACTCTGAGAACAACCTTCAGTGATTTAGAAGCTACCCAGTTTGGGTTACTTTGTTATAGCAGCCTGCATGAACTTTGACAGATTCCCGGACCAATTTGGTTTCAGGGAAACCAGTAAGTAAATTTTGAGTATAAGTGTCTCCCAAACATTGCATGGGGGCTGGGAAGGTGGCTCAGTGGTAGAGCACGTGCCTTGCATGCATGAGGCCCTGGGTTTGATTCCTCAGCACCACATAAGCAAAAAAGAAAGAAAAAAAAAGCCAGAAGTGGCGCTGTGGCTCAAGTGGTAGAGCACTAGTCTTGAGCTGAAGAGCTGAGGGACGGCGCCCAGGCCCAGAGTTCAGGCCCCACAACTGGACCCAAAAAAAAAAAAAAAAGGAACAGTTTTTAGGGGCTGGGAAGATGGCTCAGTGGTAGAGCGCGTGCCTTGCAAGCCTGAGGCCCTGGGTTCGATTCCTCAGCACCACATAAGCAAAAAGAAAAAAGCCGGAAGTGGCGCTGTGGCTCAAATGGTAGAGCGCTAGCCTTGAACTGAAGAGCTGAGGGACAGCGCCCAGGCCCAGAGTTCAGGCCCCACGACTGTACCCATGCGATGTCAGGAAAATGAACCCTTAGATGTGTATTTTAATGTTTTTTTCTTTCATGCATGTGTTTCTAACACATTTATAAGATTATCTCTTTGTTGCTTTGTATGTCCCTCCCCCACAGTATAACTCCTGCTTTCACTATATTTGATGTCAGTATAACTTGTGGAGGAGATGGGGAAAAACCAGTTGTTTAAGGATACAGGTGGACCTGTTGCAACAATGAGAAGTACAAGTTGTCATGTCCAAAACGAGCTTTACAACGTTGGTGCTGGGGGGGGGGGGGGGGGGAGAAGGATTGGGATTAGGGGGGGGAGGGGGGAGGCTGGGAAGGGATGTGAAGGGTAAACAAAGGAGGAGGCTGCAATGCTTGGTAAGAAATGTACGCATTATCCTGCCCATGTAACTGTAACTCCTCTGTACAGTATGTTCACAAATAAAATTAAATTAAGTTAAAAAAAAAAAAAAAGAACCAAACATTGCATGGAATATAGTTACACAAATGACTTACGTAGTCTCGCTGAAACTCAAACTTTAGGGTATTGTGCTGTGTTGTGTGTTTGTTGTTCAGAGGTTGTTTGTTTTTAATGGTTATGCAATGTGTTTGTTTTGTCAGTGCCAGAGTTAGAACTCATGACCTTTCCCTTAACTAGCAGAAGCTCTACCAATGGGAGCCATGCCTCCAGCCCTCCTGACTTTAGGTTATTCTTTAGCTAGCGTCTCTTGGTTTTTTTCCCCCCAGGGTCAGGCCCTTGGCGCAGCTGGGATTATAGCCATGAAACACTATGCTTGCTTTATTTAAGGAGTGGTTTGCAGAGGGAGAATGACAGGTCTCCATAATCTTTTGCCTGAGTTGGCCTTAAACCATGATCTTCCCTAGCTGTCCTCCTGAGTAGCTGGGGATTACAGGCATGAGACACTTCACCCAGCCCTGGCAGCCTGTGTCTATATCAGCTAAATCTGGCCTATTTTTCTAAGGTCGCCAGGTCAGGTTGCTTGGATTCTGCCCTGTCTCCAGTGGCTTGACTCAGGGGGTCAGGGAGACCTGACATCCAGCCCCTAGTTCCTCACCACCCCCTGCGTGTGACCTGTGGTGTCTGCAACAGTGGCATTTCTTTCTAATCCACGCTGGCATTAGGGGTTAACATGCCCTCAAAGGACCCTGCTGCTGGTCCTTTTTCTTAATTCTCAGTATTTTATAATGTTTTTGGCAGACTGGCAGGCCCTGGAAGGTGCTGCTCCTCCCAGGGTTAGCCAGCTCTACAGAGAACAAACAGTTCCTTTGACAGGCATTTCAAGCAATCCTACTCACATCCCATAGCCTCCTTTCGTCGGCCTCCTAGAGTCCCAAGCACCATTCCCAGGGTCACACATCAGAAACTTGAGATTGCTCAACATCCCACAGCCCACTGAACTTCTTCAAGCTGTCTGATCCTAAACCTGCTTATCCCCCGCTCAGTTTCCTCCTACACAAGCCACAGCAAAGGCTCAGTCCACTCTCCGGGTCCTGTGCCCCACATGACCCCGATCCTTCCCAGTGAGCCATGCTTTCTGACATCTTTTCTTTTCTTCCCCTTGGCAGTGGCCAGGTGTGGCCCACACTGTACTTGAGTAAAGGTTAAAAAAAAAAAACAACTCACATAATGCTTGAAATTGCTCCCTCCAAATGTTCCCAGGGAGGGTGCAGAGAGACAACCCCCCCCCCAAAAAAAAACAAGTTGTATGTCCTGCAAAACCTTTAAGATGAAGGAAAACTCAGCACCGGTGGCTCACACCTGTAATCCTAGCTATTCAGAAGGCTGAGGTCTGAGGATCATGGTTCAAAGTCAGCCCAGGCAGAAAAGGCCATGCGATTCTTATCTCCAGTAAACTACTCAGGCAAAAGCCAGAAGTGGTGCTGTTGCTCAAGTGGTACAGTGCTAATGTTGAGCAAAAGAAGCTCAGGGACAGTACCCAGGCCTTGCATTAAAGCCCTAGCAAAAAAAAAAAAAAAAAATGAAGGAAGGAAGGAAAACGTAGCCAGCCCCAGCTCTTTGGACTAGAAACATCTGCACTGCTCAGCTATCTCCTGAGTGAGTTTCTTTCCTGGGTCCCTCCCTAGATAACTTTAAACAGATAGTAGCCATTTCTTGAACTCTGAGGGCATCTCTAGAGACCCTAGCTCTGAAGCTAGAGTACCAGCCTCCAGATGCCCCTCCACCTCCACGCCCTTCCACCCTCCTCTCCGCATGGCCTCAGAGGGCGGGGAAGAACCCAGCCACCTCCCCAGCCTTCAGTGCCCTACTAGTTGCTTCTCAACTAGTCCTGGAAAGAGAAGAAAGGCCGTCACCATGGGCCGAGGATGTGAAGGGAGCTTGTTATATTCTAAGGGTGTATCCTTCCTGACCTACATCCACTACCCTGCCAAGGAGGCGGATCAAAGCTTGGCCACCACCCAGAGCCTGAAGCCAGATCCCAGGACAAATGCCTCTTCTCAGGCCTCAATCCTGTCTATTGGAAGAAAGAAAAAGTGCTCAGGATGCTCCCACATCCGGGCCTGGAGCCATCCTAGGGGTTATGAAAGACAAGCGTGGTCCTGGAGACAGATTATCCCGGAAGGGGAGAGAGAGTAGAAGGTATTCCTTCCAGTTGGGGTATCTGTCCAGTCTCTCTCTCAAGCTGGGCCAGCCAGACCCTTTCAGGGTTTGTGTCTGCAGAGGAAGAATTAAAAAAGAAAAAGAAAAAAGAGGTCAAGCTAGGTGCCAGTGGCTCACACCTGTAATCCTAGCTACTAGGAGGCTGAGATCTGAGGATCTTGGGTAAAGCCAGCCTGGGCAGAAAGTCCCCATGAGACTCTTATCTCCATTTAACCACTCAAAAACAAGAAGTGGAGCTGTGTGTGGCTCAAAGTGGTAGAGCACTAGCCTTGAGCAAAAGAGTTCAGGGGAAATGCCCAGGTTCTGAGTTCAAGCCCCACAACCAACAAAAAGATAAACAAATAAATAAATAAACCAGTCTGCAAAAACAGCCACATGGGGACAGCCTGGAAAATTAGGAGGCCTGGATCTAGAGGGAGACCTTGAGGTAGCAGCTTGAGAAATTAGTGACTTGCCATTAGTAATCTACGCCTTCACCCTACCTCCACAGGTGATTTGCATTCTAGCAAAGCCAGAAGTATGGGATTCAGTGCCTGAGGGGTGCTCCCACTGGCAAGCTTAGGGAGGAGATGAGAGAGGGAAAGAGGGAAGAGAGGCGCAAAGGGCTGGGAGAGGCTGGGAAATGAGGCTGTGACAAAAGTCAGTAAATGACAGAATGTTCCACCTGGAAGCTACTTTCAAGACCGCCAAGTCCCAAGGCCTCATTTCCATATGAGAAAAGTGACAATCCAGAGATTCATAAAAGAGAGCTGAAGCAAAGGAGAAAAAAGAAAGGAGAGATGAGAAGATCAGGAGGAAGGAAAGGAGGGAGAAAAAGCAGGATCCAGGCAGGCCACTTTATGTTGACCAACCCAAGTCCAGCCACTCACCAATTGAAAAGCCAGTACTCGGGAGAGTGGGTGGGAAGTCAGATTTAATAAGGCCAGCCCTGAAAAAGATGGAACTATCGTTCCCAAAGCATCTTGGGAACTCAGGTACATGGAAGAGAGAGGGAAAGGAGATATAATATGACTATGAGCTGAGCGAGGTCTTTATTATCAAAGGCAGATTTGTGCCAGGATGCCAGTGGTTCACACCTATCATCTTAGCTATTCAAGACGCTAAGATTTGAGGGTCAAAGTTCAAAGTCAACCTGGGCAGGAAAATCTAGAAGACTTTTTATCTCCAATTAACCATCAAACAGCTGGAAGTAGAGCTGTGGCTCAAGGGGTAGAGCACTGCCATCCTTGAGCAGAAAAGCTAATGGAGAGTGCACAACCCTTGACACCATCAGCAGCAGCAGCAGCAGCAGGAGCAGCAGCAGCAACAGTAGCATCTCCCTCTGGATTGCACGAGGAATCCCGTTTCTTTAGCATTACTTTTCTGCACGTTACACATCACAGTCATTTACATGCTTTATGTTAGGCTAAGGAGAGGAGTGTTCCACATTCAAATGCTATCTGAAGTTTCCCCTGATGTTCTGGATTCTGAGCTAAAGAAAGATTACTTCATAGTTAAAAAACCTTAATTATAGCCTGGTGCCAGTAACTCACATCTGTAATCCTAGCTACTCAGGAGGCTGAGATCTGAGGATTAAGATTCAAAGCCCAGGCAGGAAAGTCCTAGAGACTCATCTTCAGTTAACCCACAAAAAGAAAAAATAAAAATAAAATAAAATAAAAATTTTAAAAGTGGTGTAGCTTAAGTGATAGCACACTCGCCTTGAGCAAAAAAGCAAAAGCCTAGCCCTCAATTCAAGCCCTAGCACTGGCACAAAAAGAAAAGTCTTACTGAGGTGTGGCTTTTCTTCAGAATGTAGAAATGTGGAACAAAGGGAGAGGAACTCTACCCAGGAAGACTCTCAAAGGAGAGGCCACAGTTACATCCCTGGCTTTGAACTGCTACAAACTCCTGGGCCTGTCTGGCCTTCCTCCCTACTGCCATCTTTCAGCCATGCCAGCAGATCCAGCCTTCTTCCTCCAGCTGCAGCCCAGGATCTGAGATCTGGAGAGAACCCGGGCCAGGACCAGGTGCCCAGGGCCGCCCATAGGGCTGGAACAGCACCAGGGTGTTAGCTTCCTCCTCCTTATCTCCTTTGTTTAATGAACACATCTCCTTTTTTCTCTAATTAGGTGGAACAAACAACTTGAACTAGAATTTTTATTTCCCAGAAAAGCACACGCCCGGACACAGTAAATATGTCATTAATCATCGTTCTGAGACAAGGCAGAGAAGCTTGCTGGGTTAGGGGAGGAGGAAGTAGGGAGGAGGAGAAGCAGTCAGACAGTAATTAGAGTTCAGCCTTCCCACCCCCCTCCCATGGCTACCCTCCCACTCACGCCCACCCTCTCCTGCCCCCAGGGGAGGGACTGAGCACAGCTAAATTTATGTAAATGTCCCTTGTTAGCACCTCAGAAATGTAAAGAAAAGGAAATGGGAAGAACAATTACTCCCCTTCCCTCCTCTCTTCCTCCTACCCCCCCCCCCCCACACACACACACCTCCCAGGTCTTATTTTCATCCAGGAAATTGTTCTTATTATCAAGTAGCTATTTATAGACGTGGCGAGGTCTACTGAGCAGCCCCTAGCCAAATATGCTACCACAGTTCTCCACTGCTTTTCCTTTCCCGGCTTTGTTCTGCAGGAAAAAATTGAGCCTTCCCCAACCGCTTGGGGCGGGGGACCCTTTCATTGAGCATCCTGGCTCCAGAGGCTGATCTGAAGTCGCTCCTCCTGTGGGTTACTTGAACCAGCCTCTTGGCCTGCTACAACTGACCACACACACACACACACACACACCACACAAAACTCACTAGTCACTCTGCCCAGAGCTGGGGCTACAACCCTGCTTCCAGGAGAGCAATGTGCCAGTTCCCCAGAGTGTAAGAATCCAAAGCCACTGTTCTGCTCAGTGGATCTTTCTAGAATGCCACAGTCTGGCTTGGTCTAAAGAGGGATGTGCTGCAGTGAGTCCAAAGGAAGATACTCTTAGGAGAGGAACAGAAAGCACAATGCCTACATGCATTTGATCGTGCAAAATACTATCTATTGAACTCCAGGAAATGGAAACAACAGATTTTTTTCCCCTTTGTGGCTGTTTTTGTTTTCTTTTTGTCTTGAATGTTCCTTGATGTGTGTTTGGGAATGTAAAAGGAGGCACAGACATGGAGGGACAGAGTGAACAAATGCAGCAGTGGTACTCACTAGAGACTAGGTGGAAAATGGACTACCCAACTAACTTGTGGATGGGGACGGGAGGGAAAACTGGGAGAGAGCAAGGGAAGATGTGACACTGTCCAAAAAGCAATGTCGTCTTTACCTGACTTATGAAATGGTCACCCCTCACCTTTATAACAATTAAAAAAATTAAAACCAAAAGGGAAAAGAGGGACATGCGGATCTGGTTAAAGGCTTCCGCCTGCTTCTCATCATCCCAGAAGCCGCAGCTTGGCCTCAGTTGGGAAGGATCACACTGACAGAAGGCCCGGAGGGCCCGGTCTGCCCTCTTCAAGTTGCCTCTAAGCACCTCAGAAACTGACCTCTGAAACACTTAATCCTCAGGTGGGGCTCAGAGGTCCCCACTCTAAAGTGTGAGGTCCGGCTCTGACTTAACTCTCAGTCTCTGACTCACACTTGGAATTCATAATGTTCCCTTCCTTCCTGCCCCCCCCCACCCCCACCCTGTGAAACTGCAAGGCATTGCAACAATTGTTTTATGGGATGTTTCAAGGAAGTAGTGTCATCTGTCCCCTGCTCTAGGCCAAACAAAAGTAGACTGCATCTGGCATCCCTTTTGTGGAAGGAACCAAGTCCTTCCCCTGATCAGACCAGAAGTCTCTGACAGCTTAAACAGCCAAAGAACTCCACACACAAGACCTCCCCAACCTGTGTCCACCTAAGCGGGCCCACACTGTGGGAGAGGTGGCTGGGAAGAGACACAGGGGAAGGAAGGAAATCGTAACCACCAGGGGGAAGGACACTGTAAAACAATTAACTTGGAAGAGAGGAAGCTGTGGCTTTAGAATCTGTGTTTGTGTCCCAGAACTGACATAAGCGAGCATCACCACATGATGCTTAAAACAACAGAAACTTGGGTCAGATATGGTGGTACACACCTGTAAATCCCAGAACTCAGGAAAGAGGGTCAGAGGGTTGAAAGAACATGGCCAGTTTGGGCTATAGTAAGACACTATCATTGAATAAACACGTGCGCGCACGCATGCACACACAAAACCAGAAACATGTGTCTCACCGTTGTGGAGGCTAACAAGTCTGAAAACAAGGTATTGCCAGGACCACACTGCCTCTAAAGGTTCTAGGGAAGAAGCCTTCCTTCCTTTTCTAGCTCCTGGTAGCTCCCAGAGTTCCTTGGCTTGTGGCAGCATCATTCAATCTCTGCCTCCATCAAAACATGGCTGCCCAATATCTCTGATGTCCTCTTCTAGGAAGGACGCCAGTCATTGAATTTAGGATCCTTCCTAATCTAGGATGATCTCACATTAAAAAAAAAAAAAAACCTTAACTAATTCATAATCAATCTGCAGAGACCTTATTGCCAAATAAGATTATATTCTAAGGCCTGGATACACAGGAATTTGGGAGATATTGGTCAACACACTGCACGTCTCTAGTGCTTGTTTCATCACCAATTTAAAGCAGATTTGTTAAGTTCCATGAAATCTCTGTCTTCACACACACACACACACACACACACACACAATTCTGTATCTATCATGTTATGGTGGATGGAAAGAAATGACTTGAAAAGGTGTGAGAGTTTATATAGAAAAATAACCACAGGTCAGGTGTGCAGAGGTTTTGTCCTCATCCCTACCCACTCCTCTCCTTCTGGCCATGCCCCTAACCCCTCCCTCTGCTGCAGACTCATGACCCAACAGCCACAAAGCAGCAGCCTGATGCAAACCCTCTCCTCCATGCAAACCTGAGACTCTTCAGAGAACACCGGAGGAATGTCCTTTGACTTCTACAGAAGACCCTCTCTAAAGCCTGATTTCCATTAAGCCTAGCTTGGTCTCTGCTATGCTTTTGGCATACACTGGTTGTCATATACAATGACAGCCTTTCTAGTTCTCCGCCCCCTTCACCCCTATCCCAACAGCCCAGCACTCAACCAGGACAGGGAGCCAAGGGTAGTTCTTCACAGAGACTGATACTGGTCTCCTGAGCTGACCCCATGTACATGTCCCAGCCACAGTGTCTCTTCTCTGAGCTGGAGCCTATGCTCCCCTTACCCACCCAAGCCAGCCCATCCCAGTGACACAGAACCTTCTTTCCCTTCTCCCCCTCCCACTCCAGACCCTGCTTCGAGATGGCAAGCGTGAGAGTATCGTCAGCACGCTCTTCATTTCCCCTGGCGATGTGGAGAATGGACAGAGCATTGTCTGCCGTGCCACCAACAAAGCCATTCCAGGGGGGAAGGAGACCTCGGTCACCATCGACATCCAACGTGAGTACGGACTGGGTTAGGCTGAGGTTGGAGGTATCGGCTCTCCAGAGTGCACTAGTCCCCTCCCAGATGTCCCTCCTAGCCCTGTGCTATGACATCACCTCGCTGCATGCTGGTAGCCGCTTGGTTGGAATTCATATCTGCCTTTGAATTCCATCCACTTTGAAACAAATGCCTTTAACCCCCCAAAAATCCTGATTCATCTAGGACTTCTATACTGGCCTCCACTTAGCTCTCCAGGGATCTAGGGTCTAGGAGAACTAAGTCTCAGGGTTTCAGGATCCATCTTGGCAGCCCGAGAATGCAAGTTTTCCCCTCCGTGTCAAGAATCTTGCTTGATACCATTTAGATTTTAGAGGAAGGAAGACATGGTTGCATCCGATGGTTTCCAGACACTCTGGAGAAATGGTCAAACGCTGGAGAAGGCTTAACCTTCACTATCTTGCCATGGTACTCTCACCTGAAGCTCTTTCCATCCCTCACTCTGTGAGAAGGAGACCGGCAGGGTTAGGGCTAGGGAGGAGGACGGAGGCACCTAGGGCACCAAGTTTAAGGAGTCCTCTCAATCGACTATGTAAATACAGAGGGGACCCTGAGAGGGACAGCTTCCTTAAACTTTGCAACCAATACCTTCCTGTCTCCTGGCTTCTCAACTCCACTTATTTCTGCCAGGTAAGCCAGTGAAACAGCTGGAGATCTGGAGAGAAAGCATGATGCTGTTGGGCCAGGTGGTCTAGCATCCAGAATGGCTTCCCCTCCTCCCATGAACTGGGTGGGACTCACTAAGTTTGTCACTCACTCTTGGAACTGATTTGACTGAGGTTGTCTAAGATCTTACCCTGCTCTAGAATTGTCTGTCCAGACATAAGCCAAGTCCAAGCCCTCCACTTGTAGGCTACCATTTGTAACCACAGTGTGGCGCCCCATGCTCCTTTCCCCCATCCCCAACCTAAGCATGATGCCAGCAGCAGAATCTGCACAAATGAAACAACCTCGCTGATTCCCCCGTGAGAGCAACCGGGACCCTGGAGGGGATGGACAGGGAAGAAGCATCATTTCTGCTCCAGGCCACTGTCCATCACCCCAAAAGCACCTCTCCCAGCAACAAGACAGTCATCCTGCCAACAGCCCACCCAGCTATTCAAAGGCATCCTCCAAATGCACTCCAGTGAAAGGATCAATTTGCCAAGGTGCCCAGATGATGAGATCTGCATCCAAAAAAGGAGCATGGCCTCACCAGGTCTCTGGGCCTTTCCTGGCTTTCTTTCCAAGCATGTCTCCAATGTGGCTGCATGAGGAGAAAGGGATTAGGAATGAGGCCAGAGAAAGATTTAGAACCAAGTGCCCAGTTTCCTAGCTGGATCCCCTTCCAGGGCAGTACAGGGAAGCGATGGAGGCCCAGCAATCTTCCTGGTTTGAATTCTGAGTAAGCACTGGGGGATCTCAATTGCTCTGTGCCTCAGTTTCCTCCTTGGCATATGGAGGACATTATGTCTCCCTCCTGCAGTTGCAGAGTGAGGATTAAATGAAATCATCTATGTCCCTTAGCACTGTGCCTGACGCATTATGAGAGCCACAGGAACTATTTTTTAGGACCCCCGTGCACAGGTGTGTGGCAACCCCTATTCAGGTGTCCCCCAGTTCCATCCAGCTCTCCCAGCATTTCATCTCCCTCAGCCAGAAGGTGTTTCTATGTACCTGCCCAGCCAAAGCCAAGCCCCCCTCCTTTCCCTTCTCCTTCTCCTTCCTCCTCCATCGATTCTTTGCTCATTCAGTCAACGTCCAACTGTTTGCCGTGGACCCCACCGGCTGGATGAGATCTGCCTTTGCAAACCTGCTCATTTTCTCAGTCGACCAAGAAGCATCCAAACTCAGCAAAAAGCACATTTGTTGTTTGTTTCCCTTGGTCTTTATATGTTACCCAACGGAAGACAAAGCTCCCAGATTGACTAATAGGGAGAGAAAGCTTAACACCCCCAAAGCCTCACCACATCTGGACTCTGCGTCCAGCTGCCAAGTTTTAAATGGATGCACTATAAAATCACTGAGTCATGAAGTTTCTTTCCCCATCCCCTCCTCCATGTAATGCTTTCCCTGAAAACACACAACACATGCACACACACACACATACACACACACACACACATATACAGGTTGCTGATGGAAACACTAACAGCCTCTCAGCTGTAACATCTGTTCGAAGTGATCTCAGTTCCACCAGCTACATCAAAGCTGCCCTCCTGCAAGTTATGCAGCCGACATCACAAGTGGGATTAAAATCATGTTTAATAGTTGGATATGACATAAACTATTTATACCTCCAGAGCTTGGCAGGCTTCTGAGAACTCATACCTCACACATCCAGAGGAGAGGGGTAGAGAGAAGGATGGACGGCTCTGGGTCTGGGGATAAAGGTATCGATGAAAATGGGGGGTATGGAGCCCCTTGGGGTCCTGAAGCCCCTCTGGACATGCTGGGGCCGAGAACATTACAGTGAGGATGGGAGGAGCAGGGCAAACTGCGAGTGAGGAGGGGCACAATAGAACATGGGCAGCTGGAAGGTCTTCCGACAGGTGCATTCTCCCTGTCTCCTTCATAAAGAGCACTTGGGCAAGAGATGAGCCCAAGCTCGGTGGCAGGTTTCGAGATTCGGCTCCACTGATCCCTTTTCACTTCCCTCAACGAGAGTTACATGGAGGGCCTCTGCCTCTCAGAACTGAACTTCATAATGTGTGAACATGAGCCAGCTGCACATTGGGGTTCAGAAGGAAGCTAGTAAGCTCCTAGAAGCTGCAAAAGAGAGGCTGAAAAATTTTAGAAGCTATGTCAACAGTTCTCTTGGGAGGTGAGAACATGCATCTTAGGACCCCTGGAGTTATACTTAAAAAACCAAGACTAAGCCAGGCACCAGTGGCTCACACCTGTAATCCTAGCTATTCAGGAGGCTGAGGGCTAAAAATCAAAGTTCAAAGCCAGCCCCAGGCTGGAAAGTCTATGAGACTCTTAGTTCCAATTAACCACCTAAACGCTGGAAGTTGAGCTGTGGCTCAAGTGGTAGAGCACTAGCCTTAAGCACAAGCATCTCAGAGACAATGCCCAGGCCCTGAGTTCAAACCCTAGGACCAGAAAAAGAAAAATCTAAATTAAAGCTCCATAACATCACTTAGAACTCCCTGTGAAAAGACAGGCAGGCTGGCTGTGCCTGCAACAGATGCTTCCCAGATTTGTGGTCCCCCATCCGGAACCAGGGAAGAACAGACTCCCCAGCACAGGTGGCCACCTGCTGCTGAGGAACAAGAGTTCTCTCCCCATTGTCTGCAGACACCAACGCAGCCTGGTGGTGTCTTCCAGTCCCAGCCCCTGTGCTGAGCCCTGAAGGTGAGCAGCCTGAGCACCTGCTCATAAAGGGGTCCCAGCGGTTACAGGCTCCTATCCTACAGACAGGCTTGGGCCGTGGCTGGGCTGTGGATGGGTCTGTGAGAGTCTCAGGACTTCATCTATACTGAGGACCCAAAGCCCAGCTGGAGGGAGTCTTGCTCCCTGCGGTGACCCTGATAGGGACTAGAGATTTTTCTGACAGACTCTGGGAAAATGCCTTATTTCTTTACTTAAGCTGAACCCTGAAAAAAAAAAGCCTTGTGAATTTTTAACAGTTTTCTGGGTACTAGCCCAGAAAGTGGAGCTCAGGGTACTAGCTGATCTCCACCTCCATCCTTCTGCTGTAACTGTATTCTCATGCTTGCCTCTCTCTCTCTCTCTGTCTCGCTGTATATCTCTCTCGCTCTTCTCTCCCTCTTTCTGTCTCTCTCTGACTCTGTCTCTGTCTCTTTCTTTCTCTCTGTCTCTGTCTGTCTGCCTGTCTGTCTCTCTCTCTCTCTCTTTCCTCTATTCTTTATTTTCTTTAGTCTTTCTCCCCAACACCCTGTCATTATTTTTCTGCCTACATGTGCTATGTCTCCCTTGGTCATTTTTATTTTTAGTGCAATGTCTCTCTCTCTCTCTCTCTCTCTTTCCCCCTCTTTCCCTTTCTCTTTCTCCATCCCCATTAGCACCCCTTCCATAACTTTCTGTTTCTCTGTTTTGGGGGTTTATTTGTTGCTTTTGAGACAGAGTCCCAGGCCAGTCTCAAACTCACTATGTAGCCCAGGCTGGCTTCAGACCCATAATTCTCAATCTCCTCAGTGTGAATTACAGGTGTGTTCTAGCATGCCAGGCCTTTCTCTTTTCTTACTCTTCTGCATTTCTTAATGTGCACGTTTGTTTCTTTCAGGCCTCTCTCTTTCCACATGTCTGCACCAGTCTTTCCGTCCCTCTCGGACTCTGTTGATGTGTCTCTCAGATCTCTGTCTTCCCCTATGGTCTCCATGTTGTATGTGTCACTGCGCCTGCCACCCCCGCCCCCCGCCCCAGCTCTTCTGCACGGGTCTCTGTGTGTCTCCACAGCCCTAATTTTTATCTCTCTGTCTCTTTCCCTATCTGTGGCTTCCAGTTTCCTCTACCTCCCACCACTTAGCACTTCAGAGCTTGACTTCCTATCATGTTAAATGAGAAACAGAGCCCCAGCCTGGAGAGCCCAGGGCCTGCCTGGTGACACCAGTCAGGACTTGGCAGATGATTACACTGATGAAAGGGTATTAATGCCGCTTTCAAGTTACCAGTTACCAGATGCCCCAGAACCTTTACACAGAGAGATCATAAACAGACACTTCAAAGGCACTTAAGCTCCTCCTGAACCAGGGCTGAGCATCCATGATCCCTCATGCCCCATACCTTCTTCCCAGCTCTTCTTTCTGAGGTACTTTGTTCCACCTGGAAGCTACAGTTGGACAATGAGCTCCTGCCGCCCAGGCAGCTGCCACTAGCTGTTCAATACCGGGCCTTGAATCCACAGAGAGGTCATGCCCCCTCCCGGGCTGTCGGAAGCAGGTGCCTCCAGGAACTAAAGGAACCTCCTGCTGATCATCTCCAGACCACCAACATGCAGGAGACTCCTAGGGTGGTTGCTGCTGGAAGGGCCCCTGGGTGGTAGGCTCTCTGCCCTTCACCTCCCTGTCATCCCAGAGGTCTTCCTGCCCCATTCTGTCTCCAGCTGGCAAGTGAATCTCTTCTCCCTGCAGATCCTCCACTTGTCAACTTGTCAGTAGAACCACAGCCGGTGCTAGAGGACAACGTCGTCACGTTCCACTGCTCTGCAAAGGCCAACCCAGCTGTCACCCAGTACAGGTGAGCCCCACTAGGGTGGAGGGACAGCCTGGCCTCCCACCGCACATCCCCATGCCTGTCACGTGGGATGTCACATAGCCACAGCTTGTGGCTCACAAGAGGGGGTCCAAATAGCTTCCTCTTTACCTCCTCACTCTACCTCCTCCCACCTGTCCCCCAGGTGGATTTCCTTTCCTTCTCACTTCAGTGCTATTCTATTTTCATAGCACATGCCTGTAACTCGGTGGTGGGGAGGGAGGGAATGAACCACTCCTGCGCATGCGGGCACCATCTTTTGCACACGGAACCCTCTTTCTGCGCATGCGGGGTTAACTTCTTTTGTCCATGCGTGCACTCCTGTTTCCACCCAAAGGAGGAAGTGGTCCACATCCCTTTTAAGTTCTTGGTTTATCCTCTTATTTCTGAACAGACCAGAGAGGCTCAGGTTAAAGTTCACACAACCAGGAGAACCAGAAAGCCCGGGCTTGTGCTTGTTTACCTGGACAGGGTCTAGAAGGCACCTGGAATCCCAGATATCCACTCCCTACCCTCCTGGGAACCCTTGTCCACAGCACAGATAAACCTTGGCTGTTCTTTACATGCTTGTCTCTGCCTTTTGACCAAACATCTCAAAAGCAAGAGCCGCAATTTAGTCACTTACAGCTCTCTGCATGCAGCCCAGCACGTGGCATAGACTTGGAGCTCCTCACATGCGTCTGGCTGATGGAATAAAAGCAGAGCTGCTCCTCTGGTGGCTCCCTGCTTGCGCCATCACCACATAGAGTTCCAGAAACTAAGTGGTCCTCGGAGAGGCTGTGGGAGGGGGGCCCAAGATGTTCACCCCTTTTTTTACATGCCAGCAGAACTCCCCCAGGCCCTAACTCTGCCCCATCCCTTCCCACCAGTCCAGGCTTGATGCCCAGCCCAGGGTGCCACCTCTGACATTGATCTGGCTTATTAAGCTGCAGCCTCAGCAAGTTTGCTAATGGCCCAAGACCAAGAAAGCAGCCGTCCAGGGGAAGCAGAGAAAACATACAGGCAGGGCAGCCCCAGCAGGCAGAATGAAAGGAAATGGGCCAAAGAGGCAGCATGGACTCAGGTTGGACATAAGGAAACAGCTCCCTGCTGTGTAGATAATTAAGCAGCACTAGAACCAGAAATCCAGAAAGGACCAAGAGCTTCTCCCTTGAGGACATTTTAAAATAGGCAGAAACCCCATGCATCCTGCCTAACTTAACCCTGCCAACACTGGAGCCAGCACGATCAGATGACCTGCAGAATCCCTTCCAAGCCAAGGAGATCACGCTCCTAGAAATGCCATGACCCAGGCAGGGCCAGGGAGCAGGTCTGTTTTGGCTAGGGGTCTACTTCTCCAGAAGTGACTAAAGATGCAGAGGGAAAAACCATGGTTTGTAAATGCCAAATATAATATGCCCAGAAAACATTGCTCATGCCCATTTCACCCCGGAAGACATTATTTCCCATTCACTCTGGTAGTCATTCTCCAGATGGCTGTGTAACCCAGGGGTCTGGATGTACAACTTTCAACTTCTATTTTTTGTCATTGTCAGGCTCCCAGGCACCCGAGGACCTAGCAATGAGAGAGAGGGTGGCGGGGGGGGGGGGGGCAGATAGCAGGACAGTTTACCTTACCTCTGCCCACAAAGTTGATATTTCACCCCAGACTTCTGGCCCCCACAGGTTGAGCAAACCTGGGAATATCTGATGGCTGGGCAAAGTTTAACTCCTTCCTCAAAAACACAGAGTAGTGGGCTGGGAATGTGGCTTAGTGATCGTTTGGTTGCCTAGCATGCATGCATGAAGCCTTGGGTTCAATTCTTCAGTACCACACAAACAGAAAAAGCTGGAAGTAGTGCTGTTGTCTTGAGCAAAAGAAGCTCAGGGACAGCGCCCAGGCCCTGAGTTCAAGCCCCAAGACAGGCAAAAAAAAATTACATATATATTGATTTACTTTCCCCACCTGACTGTGATAAAATTATAAGGATCTTTTTTTTTTCTTTTCTTGGTTGATCTTGATTGCTTCCTCTCTGGTCCGCCTAAAGATCTATAATCTCTGAAATTAGACAAGAGTTCTCCCCATCTTACTCAACCATCACCCCCATAAAGGAGCCCGAGCAGGACCCAGAAGCTGTCAATTTAGTCACACACACACACACACACACACACACACACACACACACACACACACACACACACACACACACACACACACACACAGACTAAAAGCCCCCAAGACAACAGAACAGGCCCAATCACAGTGCAAAGGACTCTGGGCTCTTTGTGCCTCGGGTCTACCTGCAGAGAGCAGGGTGAGGAGCCAACATTGTCAACATGAAGCACAAAGCTACTTGACATGCCAACCTGATAGCTATGACACGTTGGGCTTTCCGATTCTGTGATATAAATAATTAATCCTCGTACATTTGTTCAGACCAAATTAGACATTGATTGAGAAGGGGTAAAGCTGACTCGATTCACAGAGGGCCTGGGAGAGGTGGTGGAGATGGGAGGAGAAGGCTGGATCACAGGGAAGCAGCGGGGGAAGAGATGGGCAAGGGGCCGGAGCACCCTTGGTTTTGTGCCTCTGGGAGGGGCCCTCAGAGGGGTATTTGGGGTGAGAAAGAAGCAAAGGGAAGACACAGTGGCTGAACGAAATGGAAGCAAAAAGAGCTGACGCATGGGTCAAGCAGTAAAGCACCTGCCTAGCAACCACAAGCAAGATCCTGAGTTCAAAATCCCAGTACTACCGAAAACAAGATGTGAAGTGAGGGCTTTGCAGAGGCCAAAAGCACCTCCCCAAAAGGCCCCGGCCTGCAGGGCTCCTGAAGACCCAGCTCCAACAGTCAACTCCTGCCTGTGACCTTGAGAGGTGACATTGAAAGGGTCTCTCCCTCTGCCCCTGGGCCACAGAAAAAGCCAGTTCTGACAGCACAGCTCCCCTGACCCAGGAAAGCTGCCTTTCCCACAGCCTGCAGGGCCCTGCTGTCTCTTCCTGCTCTGACTCCTTCAGGGGAGAGGAGAAGCCATCATCTGGTCTGAAAGGAAGGGAACCTAAATGCTGGAGCACTGGGTTCAAAGCCTTCTGTACCCCAGCAGTCTTCCTGATAAATCAGGATCAATCTGGTCAAGCTTCATACCCCTGGCTCCATAAATAGCTAGGATCGGAGGCCTGGCCTCCTCCAGATCCATTTGGCTCCCCACCTGGAGGGAATAGGGTGGAGGGAATAGGTACTGGACGTGGATCCCCAGCTGTGTGTCTGGAACTGAATTAATCCCCCTCAGGCAGGGGCTGTGCCTGGCTATTAAGTCTGGTCATTAAATTAAAGTTAAGAATTGAAATGATTCATGAATAACTCATAATGGTTTGTTGGGAAGCTCCTTAAGCTCTCAGGGAGCTATGGTTTGCTCTGTTGTTAAACTATAATTGTTATTATTAATCGTGTTCTTAATAATTACTCAAAATTAATTCAAGATAATAACTACATGGTGCCAGGTGCCAGTGGCTCATGCCCGTAATTCTAGCCACTCAGGAGGCTGAGATCTGAGGATCATGGTTCAAAGCCAGCCAAGCCAGGAAAGTCCATGAGACTCTTATCTCCACTTAACCACTCAGAAAACCGGTAGTGGTGCTGTGGCTCAAGTTGTAAAGTGCTCATCTTGAGCTGAAGAACTCGGGGACAGTGCCCAGGCCCAGAATTCAAGCCCCATGACTAACAACAACAACAACAATAATAATAATAATAACCACAACCACATGGAGCCAGCCTAAGTGTTCCATGGGATGCAGAGAAGTGGCCAATGTCATCCCTCCCCCCCACTCACACACAATGATCACCACCCCAAAATCAAGACCTTCCAACTCACCTCCCCACATCAAACCAAACCGACCAAGCTGCAGCCTCGAAGGATCCAAGCCAGCGGGGGAGAGCAGAGTCTGGGGAGACGTGAAAGCAAGTGCCATCCTCAAGAGATGAAAGGACATGCAGGGCTGAACCCGGGAGCCAGAGGTTGAGCGGAGAGCTGAGAGACCTGGCTAAGTGGGAAGAGAGGCAGGCGAGAAGGTTCAACTTCTCACATCTCGCCTTCTCTGGAATCCAAGCTTCCTGGATCCTCCTATCTTCCTCTCCCTCTGCTGACTTCTCTGTTTCTGTATACATGCCTTGCCCACATGCATACATAACAGGTGCACACACCATTAGACCTTTTCCATCACAGCCCAGGATAGAATCCACAATAGAGCTTAGAGAAGGAAAGCCAGACTGATTGGTGACTGACCCCATGGCTACTATCCAGCCATCTAGATGGGCTGACCATTCTCCCAGACTAACAGACTTGTCCGAGTGCCACTATTTGCCTGATGATCATGGACTAAAGCCCACTAGCTCCATAATCTCCCAGGTGTCTGCAAGACCCTTCTACTTTCCCTGAGTTTGAGACCTTGTTTTCCTGTGCCCAGGGAAGGACGGCCTTGCTTTTGGCATTCAAAGACAGTCTTGTCATCCAAGGTCCCCCTGAACCTGTTTCCTCTGTCTTAGGTGGGCCAAACGGGGCCACATCATCAAAGAGGCGTCTGGGGAGGTGTACAGAACCACTGTGGACTACACGTACTTCTCTGAGCCTGTGTCCTGCGAGGTCACCAATGCCCTGGGGAGCACCAACCTCAGCCGCACGGTTGACGTCTACTGTGAGTGCAGAGATTTGGGGGCTTCTAAGTGAGCAGGCCTGGGGTGGGCTGAGAACACTGGAGCTGGATTTATTGTACACAACATAATCATCACATCGCACAAGTGTGCAATGCCTTTTTTCAAACACTTCCTAGCACAGGTTACTGGGTTGTTTTGTTTTGTCTTTTTTTTTTTTTGGCCGTTCGTGGGGCTTGAACTCAGGGTTTGGGTGCTGAGCTTTTTCACTCAAGACTAGCGCCTCTACCACTTTGAGCCACAGCACCACTTCTGGTTTTCTGGTGGTTAATTGGGGATAAGAGTCTCGTGGACTTTCCAGCCTGGACTGGCTTTGAACTATCATCCTCAGATCTCAGCCACCTGAGTAGTGAGTAGTATAGACATGAGCCACCAGCTCCTGAACAACAGGTTTATTTTATTTTATTTTTTTGGGTCCGGTCGTGGGGCCTGAACTCTGGGCCTGGGCGCTGTCCCTCAGCTCTTCAGCTCAACGCTAGTGCTCTAACACCTGAGCCACAGTGCCACTTCCGGCTTTTTTCTTTTTGCTTATGTGGTGCTAAGGAATCGAACCCAGGACCTCAGGCATGCAAGGCAAGTGCTTTACCACTGAGCCACCTTCCCAGCCCCCGTCCAACAGGTTTATTTTGATCTTCAGAATGAACCTGGGTTCAGCTCAGCCTTCTCTAACAAATTACAGACTGAGTAGCTTCACCACTAGAAATCAGAGAGCCAAGGCCGCTGTTTCTGGTGAGGACTCCCTGGTGTGTGGAAAGCTGTTTTCTCTCAGGGTCCTCAGGTACAGAGAAAGGAAGAAGTGAGCACTAATCATCACCTTAGGAAGGCTCCATCCTGGTGACCTACTCACCTCCCAAAGGCCCCACCTCCTAATTTTAACCACCTCTTGGTCGTGAGTTTCCAGCATAGGAATTTGAAGGGGGTTGAGGGGACATCAACATACAGCCCATAATAAGTGGATACGGTTATTCTCGTTATTTAGATGAGGAGATGGAGACCCAAGGCCCAACAGTGAGTGGCAATATGAAAACCAAAGCCAGGCATGAGTGACTTTGTCACCTGCCACACTGTTCCATGGCCAGCCTCACTTCCTCATTCCACCTGGCAGGAACCCACAAACAGATCGGCCCCTCGCTAAGGACTAGCTGGCTGAATGGGCTCAAAAACAAAAACGGGCTGGGAATGTTGCTTAGTGGTAGAGTGCTTGCCTAGCATGCATGAAGTCCTAGGTTTGATTCTTTAGTACTGCATATACAGACAAAGTCAGAAGTGGCTCTGTAGCTCAAGGGGTAGAGTGCTAGCCTTGAGCAAAAGAAGCTCAGGGACAGTGCCCAAACCCCGAGTTCAAGCCCCAGGACTGGCAAAAAAAAAAAAAAAAAGGAAGGAAGGAAGGAAGCAAGCAAGCAAGCAAGCAAAGAAAAAAGAAAGCAAGAGAGACCCACAGACAGACAGACAGAGACAGAAAAGAAAAGAAAGGAAAAGAAAAGAAAGGAAAAGAAAAGAAAAGAAACTGGATAGGTTCAAAAAACAATTAGCTCACACAGAGCCCTCATCCCACCTCAGTCCCCAAACCCACAGCAAAGGATGCTGTGGCTCCTCTTCCACATCAAGGAATGAAAACCCAAATCTCCTGACCTTAGATTCAGGGCTCGATGTGCTGCCTGGCCAGCTGTCTGAGCAATCCTGGCCTCTCTGTGAATCATGGCTTGGTCACAGAGCAAAACTTTCACGATGCTCTTCCACACCTAGCAGAGCTATGGGAAGGGAGGCAAGTGGTGGCCTACTTCAGTGGGGCTGAGGAGGAGACTGGAGGGACTGGAACTGGGAACCTGGGGGAGAAACACACAGAATGTCATGGTCCTGCTCCTGCATTGGTAATGTCAGAGCCCGCTGCAGACGTACCTGGGAGCTGGACCAGCCAGTGCCAAGCTGTGGTCCAAGGTTCAAGATTCTGTCGTCCCTGCTCCCACACTAGATGGGGGCTTCCTCAACTTTCTGAAGCCAGATGGGTCTGGGACAGAGGAAAAGGGATAGATCAAAGGTAAATCCAGTTGGAAATTCGATCCCAGTGCCTTTCTGCTGGGAAAACTCCTCTATGCATCAACAAGAGTTTGGTGGAGGCACATCTCCCCACTTGCTTCTCTAGATCACTCCCAGACCCCAGGCCTAGCCAGGCCAAATGTAAGGAAATGGATTGCAGTGGGCTGAGATGCTTTCCCCCTGCGCCACGGAAGTAGAGGGAGAGGCGCCGCAGCCAGTGGGTCCCCAGCATCTCCTCCTTCCTTCTCATCACAGTCGGCCCTCGCATGACCACGGAGCCCCAGTCTCTGCTCGTGGATCTGGGCTCTGATGCCGTCTTCAGCTGTGCCTGGATTGGCAACCCGTCCCTGACCATCGTGTGGATGAAGCGGGGATCCGGTGTGGTGAGTCCAAGGCTCAGACTCAGGAGGGGTCCTGGTGGCGGGGGAGGGGGGGGGGAGTGGTCATTCAAAGGGAAAAGGACCCCAGAAAGAGGAAAGAAAATTCAGGCACCACCTGTACGCATCTCACCCGAGCACACTGGGCCTTTCAATTTTGTCCTAGTAAGAACCTTGTAAGAAAAGCAAATGACCAACATTATAGGATGAGGGGAAATCTCTAGAAGGCTTTTCTTTTTTTTCCCTGATCTTCCTCCTTCCTTTTTTTTTTGACTGAACTCTGGGCCTGGGCGCTGTCCCTCAGCTCTTCAGCTCAAGGCTAGCGCTCTACCACTTGAGCCACAGTGCCACTTCTGGCTTTTTCTGCTTATGTGGTGTTGAGGAATTGAACCCAGGGCCTCATCCATGCAAGGCAAACGCTCTACCACTGAGCCACCTTCCCGCTCCTTCCTTCCTTTTTTACTCATTTCTTTTTTTCTTCCCTTCCCCTTCCTTCCTTCCTTCCTTCCTTCCTTCCTTCCTTCCTTCCTTCCTTCCTTCCTTCCTTCCTTTCTTCCTTCCTCCCTCCCTCCCTCCTTCCCTCCTTCCTTCTTTCTTCCTTCCTCCTTCCCTCCTTCCCTCTCTCCCTTCCTTCCTTCCTTACATCCATCCTTTCTTCCTTCTTTCCTTCTTTCTAGTTACTAGGGTATTAGGGCTTGAACTTAGTGCTTAGTTTTTTCACTCAACCTTGGTGCCATACCTTCACTTCTGACTTCTTGCTGGTTAATTGGAGATAAGTATAGTGGACGTTCCTGCCTGGGATGTCTTCACACCACAATCCTGAGATCTCAGCCTCCTGAGATAAAGGCACCCAGTCTACAAAGACTTTTCAACTTGTCCCAAATAAAGTGACTCTTAGCCTTAACAGGGAGAGTGATTTCAAAGCTATGCTTTTTTCTTGTGGTGTTTTGGGGTGTGCGTGCGTGCGTGTGCGTGTGTTTGTGTGTGTGTGTGTTTTACTGGGTAATACTGGCTTCGAACTCAGAGCCTCACGCTTTCTAAGCAGGTACTCTGTCACTTGATCCATGCCCTTCCCTTTGGTTGGTGGTGTTTTTGTTCTTGAATGTGGGGTAGCCTTATTTTTCTAGATAAGGCCTGGAGACTTTGCCCAAGGATGGCTTTGGACTGTGATCCTCCTACTTCTGTATCCTACGTAGCTAGAATGACAAGTGTTTACTACTTCACCTGACTAGTTAGTTGAGATAGGAGTCTTGTTTACTTTTCAAGTAGACTGGCCTCCAACTGCCATCCTCTTGATCTCCACCTGCTGAGGAGCTGGAATTACAGGCGTGAACCACCACACCTGATCCCCGTGTTCCTCTTATAAAATGTTCACATTCTTTTAGCGTACATGCGGGGGGTTTTTGTCCCTGGGAAAACTTAGCCTCTCTCAGTAACTGGCCAAAGCCACGTGGTAGTCACTGCTGGAGCCAGGACTAGCCAGTGCCCGATTCTTTCTTATCATCACCTCAAGCTGACTCACGAAAGGACGCTGGAGATGACTCTGAAAACAGATCCAAGGGTTCTCCTCTTGGCCAGCCTGGGGGAGGAGAAGCCATGGGAGGCGGGGGGAAGTCAGCATCCCACCCCTCTCCCCAGCAGAGGGTCCCACGCCCCTCCCTTCTCTATGCACCACCCCATAGGCTGCACCTGGAGGGGGGCTGGCTTTGTTCAGATGGGGTCTCCTCTCCACTCAACCTCTCCCCTCCCTCCTCGTTATTAGGAGAGGTGCTGAGCACCACAGGCCTGCCCCCTGCCCTTTGCGTCTGACCCTCCCTAATTCTCCTAGGTCCTGAGCAATGAAAAGACCCTGACTCTCAAATCTGTCCGCCAAGAGGATGCTGGGAAGTACGTATGCCGAGCTGTGGTGCCCCGGGTGGGAGCCGGGGAGCGAGAGGTCACCCTGACCGTCAATGGTAAGACCCCCATACACCCTGGGATAGGCAGGGTGGGAGATGGGGACATTACCCCCAAAGGGATCATGTCACTGGCTCTGGGCCTTGCTACCACTATTAGCAATAAGTCCTCCTCAGAACCAAAGCAGGAGAAGAAGAGACTGGGTTTTCTGGAAACTTTCTTCTATTTTCTTCCCTTTCAAGAGATCTCAGGGGCAGTAAACTGCTGAGGGGGTCGGAGGTCAGAGGGTGACCCTATGTCCTGTCTGGCTGATGCACTGGCCCTGACTGTGGTGAAGGAAAATGTAAGGGTGCATCTCCCTCTGCCCATGAACAGCCCCTCTCTGTAACATTAGAGCTACTTCCTGGGGAGAGCTGTCACCATGCCCAGAAACCAGGGTTCCCTTGAGGGCAGAGAACACATCTTTCCAGGAGGGTGGGTGTGTTCTTGGAAGGATGGGGTGCCTGTTTCAGGAGATGAGCTAGAGGGGCATCACCCAGGCCTCATGATGCAGGTGGCCACAGAGAAGCTGCCACTAGCTCAGGCCGGCCCCAACAAGGCCCTGGCAGCACGATCCGTGACGTATGCTTTCCCAGAAAGTCAGAAGACAGGGTGTTTACGTGAGACAATGCCATGTTCCCTGGCCATCTCTACAGGGCTGCCCCCCCCCCCAGACACACACGCACTTCTGTCATACCCACAGGCCTCTGGGAGCCCTCTGAACCCACTATAATAACCTCAGCCCATAGCCAATAGGATTTCAGGGGTTCTGATCCCAGAGCAGCACCCCCAATAGGGGCCCTGGCTGAGTTCTGGAAATTCCCACCGGCAGCTGCACCTCAACCCAGCAAGCTGCTACTGCCCCAGCCTCATCCTCTCCCTTGTTGGACTCGAAAACTCAGCCCTAGCTTGCGGCCCTCCCCCAGTAGCCCCTCAGATGTCCCCCTGATTTCCTGTCCTCCCCCTCATCGCCCCAGAGGGAGGAGGAGACACCAGAGTCTTCAGGAGATCACCTGTAGGGGCGGATCCCTGGCTCCAGAGCCCTCCCGCCTTTCCCCTTTCCCATGTGTCCCCAGGACGCCACCAATAAATTGGTACTGCAGGGCTAAAAATAACAGCATCCAATCGCACCTCTCTATATCCATGGCAACAGGCTGTAGCCTTTTTCTGCCTAGATGCCAGTGTCTGACACTCGGCTCAGCGCGCCACGCCACAGTGAAATCAGCCGCCCTCCCACTGGCCTGGCTGGAGAGGGTGCTGGGGAGTAGCCATCCAGGCCGACTGCTCTCCACACCTGCTGTACACCCCCATCTGTGGGCCGGGACCCTTAAACTCACGAGTCTCCTCCAAGGTCCCCAAGCGTGAAGCCATTAAGTGAGAATCCTCCTTTCTAAAGAAAGGGGTAGATAAGAAAAGGCTGACATTTTGCTGTCCCTTTTAGGCATTTCCCAAGAGAGATTTCTAGAGGAGAGGGAACCCCCACACACATCCTGCTCTGCCCCCCAGGGCCTACATGCCTTGAAGGGACATTTCTCTTGGACCTAGCTCAACAGCCTGAGCTGAAGCATCTGTCCAGGACTAAACTGAGCTTGCTTGCTTGCTTGCTTGCTTGCTTGCTTTCTTCCTTCCTTCCTTCCTTCCTTCCTTCCTCCTCTCTTCCTCCCTCTCTTCTTTCCTTCTCTCTCTTTCTTTGTTTTGAGGATTACTGGGTTTTGAACTTAGGGCCTCACACTTGCAAAGCAGGTACTCTACCCCCTGAACCACACCTCCAGCCCTTTTCTGCTTCAGTTTTTGTTTTGTTTTGTTGGATAGAGTTTTTTCCCCAGGGTAGCATCAAGCCAAGATCCTGCCATCTACACCTCCTGTATAGCTGGAATTACAGATGTGAACCACCACACTCAGCTTGTTGGTTGAAAAAGAGATCTGGCTAGCTTGTTGTCTGGACTGGCCTTCAACTTCAGCCCTCCAGATGTTGGGATTTACAGATGTGAGCCACTGTGCCAAGCCTGATCTCTTTATCTCCTTTGCCTGTTACTTCCCCTCATTGTCAAACGGAGAAAAGCTGAAAGGATTGGTGTGCAGGGAGGCTTGGGAGGGGGTCGATGAAGCAATCCAGGGAGCCGTCCGTGCCCACCCAGAGAGAATGTCTGGAGGGGTGGCCAGGCCCAAGGACAGAGGCCTGGGTGTCCAGTGAATCCCTCTCATTCTCTTTAGGTTCCAATGGGCACCTTGGTAACTGAGCTGGCTCACACCAGGGAATCTGATGGAAGGGGAATATGAAAGACCTCACTGGTTGATTGACTTCTCTAAGCCCATTTGCCTTTGCCTGGCCTTTTGTTTCTTTTTTTAAAAAAAAACTAATAAATGCATATGTGTTTGCTGATGGATTTTAGAATCCTATAAACCCATGGATAGAGTTCCTCAGTCCTAGTGAGAGAAAGTACAAGACTTTATAGAGAATGATCACTTTTTGGTAGCAAAATCAAACAGGGAATCCTCAGAGCTCGGAGGCAAAGGCAGCCTGGAGCAGAGGGATTGATTTAAGCTACAGAGGCTGAAATCAGCCCTTTCTTTCTTTCCTTATTTATTTATTTTTGGTCAGTCATGGGGCTTGAACTCAGAGCCTGAGCACTCTCCCTGAGCTTTTTCACTTAAGGCTAACCCTCTACCACTTTGAGCCACAGTGCCAATTCCAGTTTTATGGTGGTTTCTCTTGGAGATAAAAGTCTCACGGACTTTCTTATCCAGGCTGGCTTCGAACTGCTATCCTCCATCTCAGCCTCCTGAGTAGCTAGAATTATAGAAGTAAGCCACCTGTGCCCAGCATTCGGCTCATTCTTTTTTCTTTTTTTTTTTTCTTTTTTCCCAGTCCTGGGGCTTGAACTCAGAGCCTGGGCACTATCCCTGAGCTTCTTTTGCTCAAGGCTAGCACGCTAGCACTTGAGCCACAGTGCCACTTCTGGCTTTTTCTGTTTATGTGGTACTGAGGAATTGAACCTAGGACTTCATGCATACTAGGCAAGCACTCTACCACTAAGCCACATTTCTAGCCCTCAGCTCATTCTTAAAGCCACTTGTGGGTGGTACCTTTATGTGGAAGAGATACCCCTCATTCCCACTCCCTGCCCTGCTCCCACCCCACTTCCCCCAGCCCTGAGCCAGCCCTTCACATTCTCAGCTTGAATTGGGAATGACATCTAAGTGTTTTCCAATACCTTTTTTCCCCTTGGCTGAAACCTACTCATAGAAATGCAAATCTGTTTTAATTAAGGTGGCTAATAAACAGCAATTATGTTTGCAGCAATTTTTGCTTTGTTCCCAGCATAATGTTACCACCCTCCACCCCCTGAAGAACTGTGGCACTTAACTGTCTTTCTTCCTGTTCTGCCATCCAAGTCCCAGCTACCACCCAGGAACTGGGTACTGAGCACCAGAGTCTCTATCTCTCTTAGCACCCATCCAAGCCAGGAAGTCAGTTGAACAACTTTACTTTTTGCTAGTTGTTACCTTTATTAGTTATTACCTTGCACTGTTAGGTGCGCATCGCACAGGGAAGACTCAGGTCAGACGACAGGCAGAACTAGCCAGGAAGGGCAATGGAACAAACCAGGTGGACAGTGTTGGAACTTTGGTCTCACCTGGGCTGTCTAGGTTTGTTTGTGGGGGGTGACAAGATAATGAATTACAGGATCTGAGTCCTAGGAATATGTCTGTGTGCACACCTACCCTTGGTGGAGGAAGAGAACCATTTTCCCCCCTCCCTCCCTGGCTTGTTGAAGGGTTCCCAATTTGTTAGGCAAGTGTGCCCTCTACTGGAGAACTGAGAAATGGCTGGAAGTCTTCCCAGCTGGTCTAAGTGGAGGTGACATTCTTTTTGTGTCTTCTTTTGCCCTGGCACCTGCCCCCACTCCCATACCAGGCTCACGGCCTCCTTCTGAGAGCGTTCCCCATTCACCAGACAGAATTATTCTCTCTCCTTCGAAGTCAGTTAGCACTTTATCTACATGACTCCCGTGGTAGGCTCACGCTTGGCACCTTTTATTACAGTTATTTATGTCTTCTGGGGATTCTGACTTCGCAGCATTCACTCATGATCCCTCGAGAGGTTTGGGATTGAATGCCTAATTTATCTTCAAGACCTCTACCTCGTAGATTCGGGGCCTTCGGTAAATATTTGCCAAAAGAGTGGGTTCATGAATACGCTTCTGAACCCCTCAAAGAGGGGGGCCAGCTGAGGCCCTGCCCCTTCTTGGATCTGTAATGTGATGTTGTCTCCCCTCCTCTCCCCCCTCCCTCCCCACCCCCCTACACCACCACAGGGCCTCCCATCATCTCCAGCACACAGACCCAGCACGCCCTCCATGGCGAGAAAGGCCAGATCAAGTGCTTCATCCGGAGTACCCCACCGCCTGACCGCATCGTAAGTGCTTCTCGAGACCCCACCCCACCAGCCAGGGGTCACCTCTGCCAATAGCCAGGCAGCCAGACGTCAGCACATCCTTCCCACCCTCCTTTCCCTCCACGGGGAAAATTACACCCTGCCTCTCTCTCACAAATGCATCCTGAAGTCTAAACAAGACAGCCTCCTTCCTCAGAAGAGGCAAGCTCCAGGGAGCCAGCCAGCTGAGCATGGCAGCCATGAGAAGTTCTAACCTAATTCTGCATCCTGGGGCAGTAGGGAAAGGGAGGGTAGCAGAGGAAGGAGGGGAAAAAAATCCCTTTCCTTTCCTGGTTCAAGGCCAGGGTTAGGAAACTGTGACACGAGTGGAATTTAGGACTAGTACCCCCTTCTGCACCTCCCACAGTTCTCTTTTGGGATCTCTTCTGCACATCTTTGCTTGAACATTCCCCTTTGAGACATCCAGGTCATCTGCTTTCCTTTCTCCAGAGCAGCCAAGACACCCCGATCATTCACCCACACCTCCTCTGACCCCCAAATGTTTGGGGTTCTTTTTTCTTTTAGTAATTCTGAACATGCTAGTCAGGAACTCTACCACTTGAACCCTTTTCATTTTCCGTTGGGTTTTGTTTTTAGATAAAGCCTCATACCTTTGCACATACCTCTGACCCTCAGACTGAGATCCTCCCACGTCTGCTGGGATTACAGGTGTATGCTACCACTCTTGGCTTGTTTTGTTTTGTTTTCTGAGATAAGATCTTCATTGACTTTCTAGTTTGGCTGGCTTTGGACTTTCATCCACCTCTCTCCACCTTCTGCATAACTGGGATTGTGGGTGTGAGTCACCATACCCCAGCCATGTTCACATTCTTTGTTTTATGGTGCTATGGTTTGAATTCAGGGCCTTGCTCTTGCTAGGCAAGCACTTTACCACATGAGCCACACCTCCAGCCCTTTTATTGCTTTAGTTATTTTTCACATCGTCTCTAGACCTTGACCCTCCTATTTATAGCCTCCTGAGTAGCTCAAACTCACTGTGCTTGCTACCATACCTGGCTTATTGGTTGAGATGAGGGGGGGTCTCACTAATTTTTTTATTCTTGAACCTCTATCCTCTCAATCTCTGCCTTTTGAGTAGCTGGGAATATAGATGTGAACCATCACATTCTGCCAGTGTTCATGTTTTTATAAAGGAAGATCAGCTGGGCACTGGTAGTGGTTCACACCTGTTATCCTAGCTGGTAACTAGGAGGCTGAGATCTCAGGAGGCTGAGATCTGAGGATCACAGTTCAAAGCCAGCCTGAGCAGAAAAGTCCATGAGAGTGCTAGCCCTGAGCAGAAAAGCTCACGGACATCACTCAGGCCCTGAGTTCACACACACACACACACACACACACACACACACACACACACACACACACACACACACACACACACACACACACACACACACACACACACACAGGATCTTACATCCTAAAATATCTGAACTGGCAAAACCTCAGGCATGAAAACAAAGAAAAGGTAACATTTGGTAGCATTATTGCTGGAAAGATGCTACTTAAGTTAGCCCTGCTAACAAGACTTGCCAGGCACCAGCGCTACAGGACAGCAGCTTGGGGAAGGCAGGGCGTGGCCACGTGAGCCCAAGACCCCAAGCTGTTCAGTCAGAAACCAATCTGTTGGTAAACTCAGTGCTTAGAATATTACCACTGTTTACACAATATTATATGCATTTTCTCAGGCATCCGGTTCATTCACCCTCTGAAAGATTCACAGAAACATTGTAAGAGTTCACACGTGTAACTAATACCTACGCCTCTCCACTCATTTTGCTCTTTGCTTGTTTAAAAAAAAACAAACACACAAATATAACTCACATCCATTGGAAAATATTCCATTCAGCTTTTTTTTCTTCTTCTTCTTTGAAGCTTGAACTCAGGGCTTGGAGACTGTTCCTTAGCTTTTTATTTTATTTTTTTCTATTCAAGACTGGTACTGTGCCACTTGAGCCACGGGTCTACTTCTGGGGTTTTAGCGATTAACTGGATATAAGGGTCGCTTGGACTTTCTGCCCTGGCTAGCTTCAAACTTTGATCTCCATATCTCAGCCGCCTACGTAGTTAGAGTTACAGGCCTGAGCCACTGGCCCTCAGCTCACGGAGTCCTTGAAAGAGCCTTACATCATCTTTCTCTTTGTAGCTGTCCATGTCTAGCTACTGAGTCTCAAGGGGAGCCCTTTTGTCCCTGGGGAGCAGTGAGCAGAATCTGGTGATGCTAGACATATCGTTAGTGGAATGAGAAACGCTGTGATCACCTGCAGTGCCCCCCTGGGGCACCCTACAGCCAGGCTGGGGCACATGACAAGTCCCCCTCTTGTTTATGCCTCTGGGCCTGGCATCGTTCCCATGGGCATGGAGCAAAGGTATGCCCAGGGCAGCAGACACGACACGTTTGCAAAACAACCCTGTGCGAAAGTCGCTGTCACCCCTGTAAATGAAGATAGATGATGATGGCCGCACACCCACCTCTCCACAAACACACTCTTGTAAAAACCGGGGCTGTGGCTCGGGACATCACCCGGGAGCACGTGGGAAGGGGCTGGTGGCCAGGGGAGGGCTGGGCTGTGATCGTCAGAGCCCCCTCCTTTCCCTGTGCAGACCCCCGCATGGGTCCTCGCTGCGAGGTGACCCTCCTAGGTGGCCCCAACCTGCGTGTGCCTCTGAGTCACGGCCTTGGGCGTTGTGCGCATGCGTTGTGGGTGGGCACGTATGTGTGCGTGGGTCTGTGGGGTATGTGTGGGGGGCTACAATCATGATGCTGCCTCTGTCTGCGTGTACATGTGTGCATTGTTGGTGTGTAGAGTGTGTATGAGTGTGTACGTGTGTTGTGTTTTATGTATATTGGGTGTGTGTGTGTGATATACACCATACTTCACAGAGTGTGTGAGTGTGTGTATGTGTGTGTGTGTGCCGCTCTGTGGGGACATGTTGAATGCATTTGTGTTCATATGCAGGTCTGTAGTGTGTGTATATATAGTATGATATGTGTTTTATCCATCTACAGTGTACTGCAGATATGCATCCTGTGGTATGCATTTTGTGACATGGTATACTTGTGCCAGGGGAACACATGTGTGTGATGTGCATACATGTAGTCATGTGTGCTTACACGTGAGGAAGTGTGTGTTATGTACATGTATGAGTTGAGTCATGTGTGTTTATTTGTATTTGCAGTATTAATGTATGTGTTCTCTCATGCACACGTGTTTGGGTGTTGTGATAGTCATGTGTGTTATGTGGTATGGTTCATGTTTACATGTACCATGTATATCTGTGTGGATTATGTGTACATGCAAGACGTGTGCTTATGTTTGTCATGTGTGTGTTCTGCATGTACTTGATGTGTATAGTGGTTATGTGTGTGCATGTGTGGGTCATGTTTGTAGTATGTAGGGCACGTGCCATGACATGCATACATGTGTGTTTATGTGGGTTGTTTTCACATGTTTAGTGCATGTGTTGTTGTATTTGATGCCGTGTGTGTTCTGTGTGTGTGAGTGTGTGTGTGTAGGTGCCCCTGTGCACCTGCTGGTTGCAGTGGTAGTGAACTTGAACGTGAGCCTGGCCTTGCGGGTGTCCGGGACCCAGCGCTGCTGGTGCAGGTGGCCTTGGTGAGGGTCCCCCCCTCACCCTGCCCACCCCCTGCTGGCAGGCCTGGTCCTGGAAGGAGAACGTGCTGGAGTCTGGGACCTCAGGGCGCTACACGGTGGAGACAGTGAGCACCGAGGAGGGAGTCATCTCCACCCTGACCATCAGCAACATCGTGCGGGCCGACTTCCAGACCATCTACAACTGCACAGCCTGGAACAGCTTCGGCTCCGACACCGAGATCATCCGGCTCAAGGAGCAAGGTGAGGGCCGCCGGCCAAGGAGGGCACCTGCAGGGTGAGGCCGGGTCCAAGAAGGGTGTTAGCACCACACAGCCTCAGTCTGGCTTCCTCTAGGTGAGGCGTACTGGCCTCCACCATGAAGCAAAAAGAGAGCATACCTGCTCAACGGGTAGCTCAGAGGGTCTCAGGAAGGGTGACTCATACTGAGCTGGGCAGCTGGCTAGGACAAGCCACCACAGCTTCTGAGGGTCGTGGCTGCATGCCCCCTGCCCTTTTCTGGGCCTGAGAGCCCCTAGACAGTGCTATGGCTGGGTATAGCACAGGGATACACTGGCCTGGCCGACAGGCCAGTCCATTCACCCACAAGTCCCATGGAGCAACCTAAGTCAAAACTAAGTGGCAGCATTTTGCTGTCCTGGTGATTCCTGGCATAGGGGGCTGGGCTCAGCTCATCCCAGTGCCCTTGGAGACATGTGGACCTAAGCTATAAAGGAGATACCAACCAGAAGGGCAGCACTGGGCAGAAAGAGCACTGGGCAGCTTAGAACTCCAGTCTCAAGCTGGGCATAGTAGTACATGCCTATAGTCTCAGCCACTGGGGAGGCTGAGATAGAAGGACCACTTGAGTTCACAAGTTCAAGACCAGCCTAGGTAAAGCCTACCTCAAAAAGACAGAACAGCTGGGTGCTGGTGGCTCGTGCCTGTAATCCTGTGATCAGGAGACTGAAATCTGAGGATTGCAATTTGAAGCCAGCCTGGGCAGGAAAGTCCATGTGACTCTTGTCTCCAAGAAGCTACTCAGAAGAAGCCAGAAGTGGCGCTGTGGATCAAGTAGTAGAGCACTAGCCTTGAGCAAAAGAAGCTCAGGGACAGCATTCAGGCCCTGAGTTCAAACCTCAGGACCAGCATTAAAAACAACAACAAGAACAAGAACCCCAGTCTCGGCTCAGCATTCTCAGGCACAGGGGAGACCCCTCCAAGGGGTGAGGACAGGTTCCAGAGTTGGATCCTCAAACACCTGCAGACCTAACTGGAGGTCCAGGGATGGCTCTCAGCCAGGCTTTGGGCCTCTGCTTCAGACACTCGGGGCAGATGGTCCCACCTGCTCAGTGATTACACCTGGGATTATCAAACCTCTCAGGCCTCCTAACACCCCTTCCCTAATAGGTGCTGCTTTGCATAACGCTTTGCGCATAACTTGCATAATATCATCCACACCTCATCCAAACCCTCCTGGATCCCCTGTGGCCTCCCCTCCTTGTCTTCCTTCGGTGCCCCCCACCCCTGTGCCCCTACCCTTGGTGTGCTCACCCACCCCCTGAAACCCTCTGGGGCTTCACTTCTCTCTCCCCCCCTCCTCTCCCCCCCTCTGGAATCTCCAAGTCAGTTGCGGTGAGCCTGGATCTGTAGGGGTGGTCCCAGAGACATGAAGGAGGAGGGAGCTCCCTTCATTCCAGTCCCTCCAGGTGGCCGATCCCCCTGTCCCACCCCACCCTGGCCAGCCAGGCCCTGGCTGTAGACGCTTGCTTTATTTCCAAACAGGTTCGGAAATGAAGTCGGGAGCCGGGCTGGAAGCAGGTATGGAAGGAGACAAAGAGATCTGCCCCGGGGAAGGTGGGAGGGATTCTTGGCTAGTGGGGGCGGGGACCCAGGACGGGGCAGGGAGGTTGCTAATGACTCGTTCCTCCCCCTCACTGAGGACTTAGTGCAGTCAGAGCTGTGGGTCCTGGGACACACACACACACACACACACACACACACACACACACACGTCTCCTGCCCAGGACCCTGCTCTTACTCCTCCATGTCCTTGTTGCTCATCTTCGGAAGCCCAAGCCCCTGAGCCCACCCTGGTGTCCTCCTGCATTCTTCTGTGCTCCATCCCCAGCTCCACCATGGCTTCCCAGCATGCCAGCTCCCTGACCCCTGCTGAAGCCTGCTCCGTCCGTGCTTGCTGGCTCATGGCCTCCTCCCTCCCCCCCTGTGTCCCCTGTGAAGCATCATCTCACCTCCAGCCTGAGTCTATTGGGTATTCCCTCACCCCAATCCCAGGCACCCACACCAACAGTGTAGTCATCGGTGCTGACCCTGGGCTGGGTTACTCTGTCAGTTACCCTGGACAATTGGTTGTCCCGCCCCCAACCCCCAAGCAGAAAACTGGAAGAGAAAAGCAGGACAGCAAATCAGACTCCTCCTCAGGGTGATGAAGGCTACACTAAGAGCTTGGGGGCACTTCTGTCCTAATTCTCTTTCTCCTGCTAGCCCTGGTCCATGTCATACTCTGTAATGAGTCCTCCTCCCTCCTTCCCAGATTAGTGCAGGCAGCCCACTGAACCCAGCCTCCTGCTGGGTTCCTCAGGGGAGGGGTGGTGACTCCTTCCAGTCACACACCCTCACAGCATCCTCTGTTGCCGGCAGTGATACCTCACATCGAGCCCTCCCTTCCTCCCACACCACTGCCCACCACGTGGGGACTGCCCTCCAGCCAAGATGGCTCCTCAGAGAAATGCAGACTCTCAGTTCAGGGGTACAGATGACATGTCCCTTTGAGGAACCATCATGTCTTGGCAATTGAAATAAGCCCCTAGTTATTTCCTGGGAAACTTGCTAGGAATCTAAGGAGAAACTAGATGCAACTCACAGTAATGAAGTTCGCCCCACAGAACCACCCCCGTTATCCTTTCCTAATGGAACAAAAGCAGGAACATCTCTTTTTCAAAGCCAGTTCAGCCATGACTGCTGGGACCAACCCAAACATCTCTCATCTCCATCCTTCAGTGTTCATTTGCCATGTCCACCCCCTCCTGGCCACCTCCTCCTGTCCCCTCTGCGGTGGTCTCCGCCACCAATAGGTAGGTGACAAGTGAGTTAGCATGCAAGTCCTAGTGTGTGGAAGAAATGGAGCCCTGTAACCCCACGCTGCTGTGGAGCTAGATGCCAGCTCTGTGTGGTAGGTGTCCCTACCTCTGCCCCATGCCTCCTCCCAGCAGCATTTGCATGCTCAGGGTTTCAGGGTTTCTTTCAAGAAGCCTTTCTAGAAAACAACGTGGGTATGGTGATGGTAGAGTGTTTGCTTGGCATTCATTCATGAGGCCTTGGGTTTCGTGCCCTGTAACAGGGAACGAAAGAAGGGAGGGAAGGAGGAAAGGAGAGAGGGAGGGAGGGAAGAAAGGGAGGGAGGCAGGGAGAGAGGGAGGGAGGGAGTGAGGAAGGAAGGAAGGAAGGAAAGATGGGAGGGAGGGAGGGAGGATGGGAGGGAGGGAGGGAGGATGGGAGGGAGGGAAGAAAGGGAATGAAGAAAGGGAGTGAGGGAGAGAAGAAGAGAGGAAAGAAGGGAAGGAGGGAAGAATCTTAGATGGGAGGGAAGAAAGAAGGAAAGGAGGGAGGGATGGAGGGAAAGAAGGAGGAAGGGAGAAACAAGGGGGAGGATAAGGGAAGGGGATGGAGAGGAGGAGAAGGATAGGCTAACCCCAGCTCCAGAACAAATACCTACCTTTCCTACCCGTGAAGGTGAGTGGGAGGGAACTCAGTCTTTGAAAGAATTTCCTCACCTCTGCGATTTCAATCTCTTCCCACAAACGCAAACACTTGAACAGAGCCAGGCTCTCCTTGGAAACTTCCACCCACATTCCTACATCTTAACCCCATAACAACTCTCTGCCCTCTGTACTCTCATTACCCCATGTACAGATAAGAGAGCTAGAGTGAGTTCAGGGGAGAGTGGGAGAGTACTTCACAATGCAGTGGCCACAGATGGGATGGGGTGGGTGTAGTGATGAGAGGAGATTTTAGCAACTGCGAATCAAGTCATTTGGCTTCTCTGGCCCTCACTCTCTCTGTAAAATGGGAAGCTTGGATCCAGTAGGTCCTAGGATCACCCTGTCCATTATTCTCTAGTTCTATTGCTGATGGACTCCTCAGGACCGAAAACCACCTATGCAGCCATAGAAGGACCAGAGCTGCTGGCTGAGCAACCCCTCCATCCTCACCCCCATCCCCAGCCCTCCTCATCAAGGGCAGAGACGCTGGAGAGACTGGGCAGGGACTGAGGACTGCCCTAGCCGGAGTTCTGGGCCTCTCAAGCTAGACAGGTGCAGTTGCTCAGGTGACTGTTCTAGAAGGAAGAATGAGATAAAGATGTCAAGGGTTGTAGGCAATCTGTGGATCTGAGACTAGGACACCTGGAGGCTACAATTCTGACACTTGTCAGGTCCTAAGAGGGAGGTTTTCTTAGACTCCTAAGGGCTGATTGAGTCTATCATCCTGTTTGTACCAGGAAAAAGGAAATGAAGGGACAAACTGGACAAACAAGGACAGAACCATACTCATTTTTTTCCCAAGAAAAGCCAGGACCCGTAACACCAGCCACCCATGATAGCTTCCCTACTGAGTGCCAAAAGGGCTAAATGATGCCAATCTCACTCTCATCTCCTGTGTTCCTCTCCCCTGACCTGTCTGTCCTCTGTGTCTGCTCCAGCCTCTGCCCCTTCCCTATTCCTCCCTGCCCTCCCCCTCTACCCTGTGGCTCCACCCTGGTCTGCATAGCCCCAGCCAGACCTGACTCTCTGCTGGACTCCGCCTCCGACTGCCCAGGCCCCACCCAAGCATTTCCCAAGAGGGGCCCACTGGCACTGGTCTGGTCCCGGCTTGGTTACTGAGTGAGATCCTGGGGGGAACCAAAGACATCCCCCCATCCCTCATCACCCATGTCTGTTTCTCTCCCAGAATCTGTGCCGATGGCCGTCATCATCGGTGTGGCCGTAGGAGCTGGTGTGGCCTTCCTGGTCCTCATGGCAACCATTGTGGCCTTCTGCTGTGCCCGTTCCCAGAGAAGTACGGGAGGGAGACCCGGGATCTCAGGGAGGGGGACAGAGAAAAAGGCCAGGCTTAGACTGCCCCGGCGAGCAAGTAAGCAGCAGTGCCATGAACAGGGGCCCTAACAGTGCTGTGAGCTCCTGGGGCAGGGATGGGTGTGTTAAGTGCGGCACCATGGGTGTCCGGCACAGGTGGGAACTGGGCTGAGGCTGAACTGAACTAGACTGACCCTCATCCAGTAGGGCACACAGCCAGCACTTGAGGTTGGGACCACAGTGAGACCCAAGGGGAAGGAAGGTGGTTTGGTGGGTCATCATTGTTCTGCGAGGGCCAATAGTTTACAACGCAGGTCACCACACAGGGGCAAAAACCTATGCAAAGAATTATTCTGAACAGTCGTAGAGGTCTTTTGGTCATTCTAGTGTTTGTAAGCCCTTAAAGAATTCTGTGCATGCTGGGCTCAGCTCTTGAGTTACATGTGATGGACAGGAGGCAAAATAGATACATTAAGGAAGGCAAAGTCCTCTAGTCCCGCCTCCCTATACCACGTGACACTGGGCAAGCCACCCCTATTCCAGACCTGGAGTTTTCTCTTCTGTAATAGCAAGGAGTTGGATGACTTGACTTTTCTGATACTATATGGCTCTTGACTCCTATGAGAGAAAAATACAAAGTGAGTCACCAAGGGACGTCTGCCTCCTCAACCCAGCTACCTTCATGGATTAGAAAGAAGCCCAGGGTTCTCCTCACATTCCGTCCACTCCCATCTTGGCCCCATGATGACTCCTAACAAGGTGGTCTTGAAGACCTCCATGGCTACCCCAGGGGAGCACATTTTCACAAGAATAAAGCTTCCATCATGGGAGGATGGACAGGGAAACTGGACCCTTGCGGGTTGGCTTCTGCTGTAGGAGAGAGGGTAGCCATAGGACCTTTAAGGTCCTTTCTTACAGATTTGTGGTTCTATGAATAGAGAGCTCAGAGCCTGGTGAGAAAGTCAGAGAACCCTTCCTAGAAGGAAGTGAGAAGAGGATCTAGTTCAGTAAAGCGGAAGAATGGATGGGATAGCCTCTCCAGCCCAAAGCGGGTGGGGTGGGGAGACACTGAGGTATAGGAGCAAGGAATCAGGCGGCCATGTGGCCAGGCTTCTCAACGCCACACAGCCCACAGCAAAATCCACACAGGTGTTCAATGGGTGGGGGTGCCGCTGGCAAAGCTGTTGGGTTCAGGAGCTGATGGGAGGGTACATCCTGTAGGGTGGTGGGCTGAGGGGTGTCATTGGGGGGGTGGCCAGGGAGCTGTGATATCTACGGATATAATGCCAGAGATGGAGGGCTGAATGTGTTGCCTGTGCTTTCCTGTTTTATGTCCAGATCTCAAAGGTGTTGTGTCAGCCAAAAATGATATCCGAGTGGAGATTGTCCACAAGGAGCCTACTTCTGGTCGGGAGACTGAAGAGCACCCCACCATCAAGCAGTTGATGGTAAGAATGCTGGTCAGGCTGCACCCCATCTTGGGATGCTGTTTCTGGAAGGTCCTGGGGCCAGAGGCTTCTCATTGTCCTCCATACCTCTCAGAAGGAATTCGTCAGTCAAGATGAGCTTGTCTGTTCCTCCTGGAGACCAGGAACATGCTCACAGACAAAGAACATGGATTTGAGTGCCAGCTGGATTGTGATGTGGGATTGGTATGATTGGTAAATCCAGGACCCAAAGATATCTAAGGAGCAGTTCCTGGCCTCAGAGAGAGCCTGGCCATTGAGTAGGGCAAGAATGTATGCTTAAACGGCCATATGTTGCTACACATACACGTACACACACACACACACACACAGATGGATATGGATATTCAGTACATTCCCACACATGCAACCATAAGAAGTGTAGGTTCTTCCTTAGGAACTGGATAGCCCACCAAAGTCAAACTCAAAAGTTCTCTAGCAGTGGTTCAGGCCATAATCCTAGCTGATCAGGAGGCTGAGATCTGAGAATCTCCAGTAGAAGCCAGCCCAGGCACACAAATAGAGACTGTTATTTCCAATGAATTAGCAAAAAGCCAGAAGGGGAGGTGTGGCTCCAGTGATAGAGCACCAGCCTTGAGAACTTTTCCAGCAATACCAGCCACCTCATCTCCTTTCACGGACCAAACCACTTCACTGTCTGGGTAGAAGCCTAAACAACTATGCCAGACTGTGGCTGGGATATGTTTGGATAGAGGTAGCAGAGCAAGGAATACAACCATGGACTTCTCTGAGCCTCAATGACTTCAGAAGCGAGGGGGGTGATTTCAGAACTCCCTGATGGTACCTAAACCTGAGGATGTCAAATCTCTGACATAAAAATGACATCATATTTGCATATAACCTATGCACATCTTCCTGAATACTGTAAATCACCTCTAGATTATTTATTAAGAAAAAGGTGTTCATACCTGTAATCCTAGCCACTCAAGAAGCTGAGATCTGAGAATCGTGATTCGAAGCCAGCCCGGGCAGACAAATCTGAGAGACTCTTGATCTCCAGTTAACCAGCACACAAAAAAAAGTACAGGTGTGGCTTAAGTGGCAGAGAGCCAGACTTAAGCAAAAAAGCCAAGTGAGAACAAGAGGCCTTGAATTCAAACTCCAGAATTGGTGGATGCACGGTTGCATGTGCACACACACACACACACACACACACACACACACACACACAATGTAAGTGCTATGCAAATTACTGTTACACTGCATTGTTATGGGAAAATGAGGAGGAAAAACAATCTATACATGTTCAGCGAAGATGCAGATTTCCCCCAAATATTTTCCATCCACTGCTGGTTGAATTCACAGATGTGGAACCAGAGAATCTGGAGGCCTGACTGTCAATGTTTAGCTGCTGGTGTTGCTCTAAAACCGCCCACTAGATGGTGAGCAATGGCTGTTCTACTCATCCCCAACAGAGGTGCCAACGTTTACTGAATGGACTTTTCTACCACTCTCTCTCTAACCTATCGATTTTCAGGCCCTGTTGATTCCACTTAGAAAACATGTCCCAGGCTGGACACCAGTGGCTCACATCTGTAATCCTAGCTACAGGAGGCTAAGACCTGAGGGTCGCAGTTCGGAGCCAGCCAGGACAGGAAAGTCTGTCAGACACTTACATCCAATTAACCACCACAAAGCTGGAAGTGGAGCTGTGGCTCAACTGATAGCAAAAAAAGCTGAAGGACAGCACTCAGACCCTGAGTTCAAGTCCTAGTACTGGCACACACACACACACACACACACAACATACATGTGCGCATGCATGCACACACAGAGGCTCAGATGTGTGTCCCACTTCCCCTCTACTGGTACCCCCTTAATTTGGGGCTCCTTCTTGCTCCCCTGTTATGGCAGTCCCTTCAACCTTCATCCCCAATGAGCCCTTGAATTCCTTCTCCTCGGGACCTCAGACACTATGCCTTCAGGAAAGAGCAGTGGTCACAGTATTTTATAAGAGCAGAGGGGAGGTTTGGCAGAAAGGTCTTGTTAGAGGCCCTTGTGGCCAGCTTCCATTTAGGGGAGATTGCCATCCCCCTCTCCTAGATCCTTCACTCTCTGAGCTTGGGAATGTCCCCATCATTAAGGGCCACAGGCTTAGAAGTTTTGTTTGGTGGGAAAGAAGAGCCCCAGTCCAGAGGGAGCCAGAACATTTGCTGGAAAATGAAAAAACAACTACTACTACTACAGTATTATCAGTGAAGAAGTAACTGGATGGAAACACTTTAGGTGACTTTGTGGAGCTCCAAAAGGAGACAAGAAAAGCAAATTGCCAGAGAGAAGAAACAGCCTGCTTAGAGAGTAGATGGGATCCTGGCCTAGACCAGGCCCTCAGCAGAAGTGACTCCTGGAAGGCATCTCAGGTCGGGGGTGAAGCCTCATCACGGTTATTCAGATTATTTCATACATCAACTGTGTGCTTAGTCCAGTTTGTTCTTTATCCTGTGCCTCCTTCTTGTTCTCACTGGTTTAGAGCTAAGCCTCTGCACGCACTCATTCAACATTTGGAACTGCTCTGTTACATACCAGGCAACATGCTGGTCAGAGAGTGAATAGATTCCATTCCAGAAACATTTTGGTCCATGACCACAGTAGGCAAGGCCCTGGACCGCGTGTGGTGGGGACCCACAGAGAGCACCAATGTCCTCCCCTTGGCATCTGTTAAGGAAGACAATTTTCCCGTGCATCTGAGTCACAGCTGTGGACAATGGATATAACCCACTGTGTTAGTCACAAAGTGCTGGAGAAAAATCAACTTGAAAAGAGACTTATTTTGGCTCAGGGCTTTGGAGGTTTCAATCCATAGTTACTTGGCCTTGTTGTCTTTGGACCTGTGGTGAGGCTGAATGTCATGTCTGAAGCCCCAGGGCAGGGCAGGGAAGGCTGCTTACCTCATGGAGGACAGGAAGCAAAGGAAGAGAGGTAGGACTAAGGTCCCAGTGTTCTCTTCAAGGACACCCCGCCCACCCCCACCCCCAGTCATGCAACTTCCTTCTAGCAGTCTGTATCTCCTAAAGTTTCACCATTCCTCAGTAGTGCCACAGGCTGGCAGCCAAGCCCTCAACACATGGAGCTTACAGGGGGAGGGGGGGCGGGGAATGTCACTTCAGATCCAACACATCACATGCTCCTATTCCTTGTGATTCCTTCTGAAGCTCTTCATGAAGCCCTGGTCAAGCTTAGCGGCCTGCCCTAAAGAGCCTGGCCTATTCCTAGAAGTCAATGCTCTCTGATTATTTATCTCCGGCGCCATCTTTCTGATATACAGAGCTGTATCTTAATCTCTGTATTTCTGGCCCTTAGCACCTGTGCTAGGCCAGGAATTTTTAATAAATACTCAATGAAGCAAACAGAGTTGGCAAAATGAGCTCCCTGGAGATGGTGCTCTAGCTCAGCCAAAGAAAGCATGGCCTTCCAGACCTGCCCTGAACCTCATACATTCCTCCTGTCTCCCTCTCAACAGTCTCTTAGAATGAGGGCCCCAGGAATACAGATAAGATCCTGAACCTCATCTCAAATCCTTCTGCCTACTACAGTCCAAGCAGTAAGGGGTAGTGAGGAGGGAGCATACATAGAAAATCTTTGAGCTCATTTCCCACATCTTCTCCATGGAGGAAGTGGAGTTGAGCCAACTTTCTATCTACTGAATCATCATAATTTGGATTATAGATGGACCGGGGTGAATTCCAGCAAGACTCAGTACTGAAGCAGCTGGAGGTCCTCAAAGAAGAGGAGAAGGAATTTCAGAACCTGAAGGTAAGTATGGCCAATGGGCTCTAAAGATGAAGCTCCCATTGGGTCTGAACTGCAGTTCTAATGGCCCTGATCCTAGTCCATATGAAGAACCACAGGAAGCAAAAGAGCAGGGCTAGAAGTCAGTCAGGGGACAGGTGCCTAGCCATGTCCAGAGTACCTGTTCTCTCCACCCCTGCACAATCAAGGCTGAAAACGTTAAGGCTGAGTTACCCCACCCCACCCCACCCCAGTTTGCTTCTCCCACAGCCTTCTCAGAAGTAGATTTTCAGATTCATTGCTCATGTTCTGGGCACAAACACACACACACACACACAAACCTGGTCAGGAGCATCTGGAACACCTGCCAGCTTCTCACCTCTTGCTCTCGCCCACCCAGGACCCCACCAATGGCTACTACAGCGTGAACACATTCAAAGAGCACCACTCCACCCCAACCATCTCCCTGTCCAGCTGCCAGCCAGACCTGCGTCCTGCAGGCAAGCAGCGCGTGCCCACCGGCATGTCTTTCACCAACATCTACAGCACCCTGAGTGGCCAGGGCCGTCTCTACGACTACGGGCAGAGATTCGTACTGGGCATGGGCAGCTCATCCATCGAGCTCTGTGAGCGCGAGTTCCAGAGGGGCTCCCTCAGCGACAGCAGCTCCTTCCTGGACACGCAGTGTGACAGCAGCGTGAGCAGCAGCGGCAAGCAGGACGGCTACGTGCAGTTTGACAAGGCCAGCAAGGCCTCTGCCTCCTCTTCTCACCACTCCCAGTCTTCATCCCAGAACTCCGACCCCAGTCGACCCCTGCAGCGGCGGATGCAGACTCACGTCTGAGGATCCTCGTGGCACACACTGTGGGTGGGGATGGGCCGGGAAAGGAGGGCAGGGCCCCAGCACAGGCCAACACTATGATGGCCTCGGAGCGCCTCTGCCACCATCTTCCTTCCTGATCAAGCACAAATCTGGTCCCCATCTGCTCGGAGCCACAGACGGGCGGGGGTGGGGAGATGGAAAGAAGATGCAGCTGAGCGCACCGTGCTTGGCATTGGACACACTGGTTCCCCGGCCCTTTCCTGGAGACCCTTCGACCGCCTGCTCCTCCCACAGGCTCCCGTGGCAGCTATAACTTTGCTTTTCTGAAACTGCCGTCCACTCTCCGGTCTCCCCCTTTGGGCTTTCCTCTCCCTGATGCCCATAAGTCCCCCCACCCCCACCCCGTGCTTGTGCTCCTCACAGCCCTGGGAAAGGGGGAGTTCTTCCCAGCACCCAGCTGCCCCAGAGGACTGACCCCACCCACCCAGCTTTCCTGCTGCTTAGTAAAAACATGCTTTGGAGGCTGAAGGAGTCAGAAATAGTCCTGGCCAAAGGAGCACACTGCTAGGGAGTCCACCCTCCAATTAATTCGTTTGGTGTTTTGTGTCCATATTCTTGCAGTTCTGTCATTGGACTTGATGCCCCTGAACGTGGAGGTGGGACTGGCCCAATCAGAGCCTGGTATTCCCTGTGGGGGGCGGGGACTAATAAAGGGAAGGAGGGAGAATATGAACTCCCGGGGAAACGTCTCACCCCCCACACACACCCCTGGCCAGGCTGTGCGGTTCAGAGCCTTCCCTCCCCCACCCCCACGCCCCTGCTTTGTGTACTCTCTTCCCCACGGCACAATTGGAGTTAATATAAGAGCTTCTCCGGTCAGGGTTCTTGGACCAGTCATTGAAGAGTGTTTCCTGGGGGTGGGAGGGTATCAGTTTGAAGGGGCTGGAGTCAGGTCTTTCAGAGGATGAAACTCTCCTCCTTGGCTGATGAACATGAGGAACAATGATCCAGTCTCCAAGAAGAATCTGTAGGAAAGCTTATCTGCGTCTCCCCCTTCCTTCCCCCCCCCTACCCCACTCCCAACTGAGAATAAACGTTAGGGCCATTACCCCAACAAGCCCACTTTGTTCTTTTGTACCTGCAGAGCGACAGGAAGAACTCAAGAGCTCTGAGTGTGCTTTGGGAACCCAAGGTGCTTTGCTCTTCTCCACTTTGATTTTTACCAGACAGGAAGGGCTGCTGACCGGGGCTGGTTGTGGGGACAGTGGAACCTCTCAGAAGTCTCGCCTCCTGTCCCCTCCCCCAGGACATGCAAAATCAGTCGTCACCAACTCCAACACTTGCCAAGTACAGCTGAGGGAATGTGGTCACCTGGACATGACCCAGGTCATTCTGCCCTTTTCTCTCAGCCCAGGACTGAATACAGAAGGGCACTCCCTCTACTTCAGGCTCAGGGAGGAGGCCCTTTTGTAAGGGTGTTGATAACCAACACCCTAACACTTAAACTGTGGGACTCCAACAGTGTAGCAAGGATGGCCTCACATGGTTGGAAGCTTCATAGTATCATGGTGGATGGGGTGAATAAACAGGGGTAAATTACTGCTCGTACAAGGCAATAGGATTCAAATGGAACTCTGTGTAAGTGGCAAGGGCGGAGGGGGGGGGGAGGGGAGCATGTGTGCCAGTACTGGGACTTGAACTAAGAGCCTGGGTGCTATCCCTTAGTTTTTTTTCTTTTTTTTTTTTTTTTGCTTATGTGGTGCTGGGGAATCGAACCCAGGGCCTCAGGCATGTAAGGCAAGCGCTCTACCACTGAGCCACCTTCCCAGCCCAATCCCTTAGTTTTTTTATTCAAGGCTAGTACTCTACCACTTGAGCCACAGATCTACTTCTGGCTTTTTGCTGGTAAATTGAAGAGTTTCATGGACTTTCCTACCCTTACTGGCTTTGAACTACAATGCTCAGACCTCAGCCTCCTGAGTAGTTAGGATAACAGGCAGGAGCTACCGTCACCCAGCTTCACATGAAACGCTGGAGAATTCAAATTGTCATTAAGGCTTAAATGGTCTCATTGGCTGCTTCTCCAGCTTTCCTGGAAGTCCTTACCTATGTGGTCTCAGTCTTAGATTCTATGTAGATCCTTTCTAGCCCCTCAGATCACAGGAACTTACTACTTCCATCTTATTTCCTAGTGCTTGAAAACCTCCCCGTTCCCCGAATCTCTTCCTTTGAAGGCCCAAGCCTGAGGGAGTAGAGACCTATCAGGATTGGAAACACCTCAAGTCTACATCCTGCCCCGATGCCATTTTCTCTCCCTCTCTCTCTCCCACTCTCTCTCTCTCTCTTTGGTTAGTCATGGGCTTGAACTCAGAGCCTTGGCACCCTCCCTTAGCTTTTCTGTTTGAGGCTAGTGCTCTATCACTTTGAACCACAGCTCTACTTCCGGCTTTTTGGTGGTTCATTTGATATGAATCTAATGAACTTCCCTGCCTGGGCTGGCTTTAAACTTCGATCCTCAGATTGCAGCTGTTAGCCTGAGCCCTCTCTAGGTTCATTTCAACAAGTTCTCCCTTTCCCATTTTTTATCCCTCGTCCATGTTTTCTTCTTCCCTTATAGGATTGCTAGTAGGACAAGACTCCAAGGCCATGTACAAAATGCTTTGATGGGGTAGAATAAGGAAGTGATGGCTTAAGTTTTGTCCACTAATTTCCCCGGGTCTTCCCCACCTTGGTAATGGATAATCTACCTCCAAGATACTGACTATGGCCTACCTTGCTCTTGACCCTGGAGGTCACATGCATGCAAAACCACAAGGATGGAGGCAGACATTCCTTTTCTAGAATCCAGGGTTATGTCAGAGTAAGCTGAAGAACAGGAAAGAAATCTGACCTATCGAATAGAATGAGCCCTTCTCTCTCTCGGGTCTGGACACTCCCAGAGGAAGAATGTGGATTATGATGGAAGAGGAAGAGAGAGTACCAGGGTAACCAGAGACTAAACGGTAGGATGCCTAACCCTGTGGTTCCCTCTTGTGCATAAATGCAGCCAGAAGTGATAAGAAGTTACTGTAGGGTCTTTGTGAAAGAGGAAAGCACAGAGGGACAAAAATTGAAGCAAACTGGATGACTCTGGAGCATTGAAGAACCCAGACCGAGCTATGTGTGTTCCTCAGCTATCTACCACTATTAACTCGTGTATGTGCGTGTGTGTGTGTGTGTGTGTGTGTGTGTGTGTGTGTGTGTGTGCACGCATACTAGTACTGGGGCTTAAAGCTGGCACTCTACCACTTGAGCTACACCTCCAGTTCCAGATTTTTTAAATTTAAGTAGAGATAAGAATCTCAAAGAAAAAAGAAAAAGAATCTCAAAGAGAACTGGGAATGTGGCTTAGTGGTAGAAGGCTTGCCTAGTATGCATGAAGCCCTGGGTTTGATTCCTCAGTACTACATAAACAGAAAATTCTGGAAGTGCCACTATAGCTCAAATGGTAGAGTGCTAGCCTTGAGCAAAAGAAGCTCAGGGACAGTGCCCAGGCCCTGAATTCAAGCCCCAGGACTGGGGGGGAAAAAGGAATCTCAAAGACTTTTCTGCCCAGGCTGGCTTTGAACTAAGATCCTCAGATCTCAGACTCCTGAGTAGCTAATAGAGATGTGAGCTATCAGCAGTCAGCACTATCAACCTTTTTTTGCAAGGCATGAGAGTCCAGGAAAAAAAAAACAGCAAAGGGACATGGTTTAAAGTGAATAAATAAATGAAAGTCCTGAATTCCCTTGTAGATGATTTCACAATTAATGAAATTAGCATTTGATATTTGAACTCTTGCTTAACCCTCCCAGTTCTACAACCTATTGCTATGTTTTTACTGATGTGGCAGTGGGATTTAAAGAAGCCAAAAGATTTGACCAAGATCGCAAAGGTAACAAGTGGCAAATGTGAGATTTAAACACATGATTTCCACTAGAAGTTTCCATTCCCACGGTGCAGACTCAAAGCAACTCTCAGTCCAGGGTAAGGGTGGAAGTGGCTAATGGTACAGGCCTGCTACCACTCCAGGGGCAGACTGGGAAACCACAAGCCCCAGCTCCATTATGAAGGTCGGATTCCACCCTTCACCTTAAGTCCCCAAATAACCTGAAAAGACCACAACTCCCTCTGAAACAAAGCTATTCTGTGTGTCAACTCACCCCCACCCCCTACCAAGGCCAGGATCCAGTTTTCTGATAGCTCTAAGTTCATTATTGGCTCAGAGGTACTGGACGGGAGCCCAGTTTCTAATTCTCAGGCTTGCTATCAGTCTGTAAAGGCCAGGGTTATTTCCACCACCTCTTCAACTTCCATGGAGTAGGAAGTATTCTCACGTGAAGAGCTAAAATGCCACATCAAACCTATTTCTGCCAAGACCTCTTTAAACAAATCCTAATATAATAAAGTTTTAGCCCTGGAAGTCACCTCTGAGTTTCCGGAATGGAAAAAAAGACTCAAAGAAAATGAAAACAAATTGGAGGTAGTCCTTGGGAGATTTCTCAGAACAGGAGAAATGAAGTCCACAGGAAATCAGTCTTTACTTCCTGGCTGGGGAATGATCTGTGCTTCTTTGGGCACTTGCTATTATGGAGCTTATCCTTGAAACTCTGAGTATATGTCCAGTTGTATAAGTTGGTGTAGTTGGTGATGACCCCAGAACAAAACAACAGGAGAATCTGGTCACTAGTGGTCTTCTCTAGAAACTTCTCTATAAAGCCACTTTTACTCTCTCTTCCACTCCTTCGAGGCACACCACTGATCTACACCTACCAGCTCCCAAACTCTTTATTAAAATAAAGCATAGCCCAAGGCTGGTGGCTCATGCTTATAATCCTAGCTACTCAGGAGACTGAACTAGGAGGATCACAGTTCAAAGCTAGCCCGGATAGGAAAGTCTGTGAGACTCTTATCTCCAATGAAGCACCAGAAAAACTGCAAGTGGTGCTGTGGCTCAAAGTGGTAGAGGGCTACTAGCCTTAAGCACCGAGGCCCTGAGTTCAAGCCCCACAACTGACAAAAATAAATTAAATAAAATGAAGTATAGAATTGAAACCAGTTTGTACAACCATTTAAAGATAATATTAAAAAATAAAAATAAGGTGAAGCATAGCTATTTAAATGCAAACTATGAATTTGCACCTAATTTTCTTTTGTACTTAAAAATGCCACTTGTTTTTATCAGTTTAAAGAAATATTCAGTTAGATACAGACTAGTGACATCACTACTACATCTTGAATTTTCCCTCCCTTTTAAAAACGGTGTTTTGAAAGTCTCTTATCTGAGTTGGTTTTAGACACTGTAACCACATATCCTGAGACACTCTAGCATCAAAACCTTCAGCAATCTCTGGCAGTCACTGATAAAGAGCTCTCTGCTGATGGTTTCTTAGCATTTCTAAGAAAGTTCCAACCATTTCCCCCCCTGTTGTGGCCTCTTATGTTTTAGTCTTTCTAACAGGTCCTAAAGTGGGGAAAACGGAGAAAAGATTGAACTACTCTTCTTTCTACAAATATGAATTGTTTCCCCGGATGAGAACATGTTTGCTGTCAGACTACCAATTCTTCCCCTCAATAATTGCTATTCTTCCCTCATTCCTCCTCCCCTCATCTCTAATGCTAGGTCTCTGACATACAGTGAAAGCCTTCATTACCACAAGCCCTATAGTTGTATGGCTACCACAACCCCCCATTTTAAAAGGCCTTTTTGTGAGGGGATGTGGATGGAGCTCAGTGGCAAAGTTCTGCTTAGTACATTGGATCTCCCACACTGCAATCTAAATGAAGAAACAAATAAGTAAATAAACGGCCTGTTGTGGAAACACGTCATTGATAAGACTTTAAACTGTGACATACATCCCTAGTTTTATATTTACCATGCTTTACTGCTGTGCTACATACCCAGTCACCTCGGATTGTATTTATGACTTCTGTTAATATTTGTCACTCCACGTTCCCAGTGTTTTGTTTTGTCTTTTTTTGTGTGTGTGTGGGCCAGTCCTGGGGCTTGAACTCAGGACCTGGT